TATATAATCTTGGAATATTGCTTCCCATACAATCACTGAAGTTAAGCAATATCTCGCCTGGTCAGCACCTAAATGTCTGACTGTGAATACCAGGTGCTGTAATCTTGGATATGCAAGTGGTGTAATGAATGACTCAGAATTGTCAATGAGAGAGCCAAATTCCAATTCCTATTAACTTCATTATATTCACTTACATACAAAATACACTTAGGAAAGGAATGAATCCACATCTCCCAACTGTGGGTTAATTAGTAATACTTGTATTACTAAACCATTATCTCTCCTGGAAATTTTTACAATCTAAAAACATTTTCTGGCTTTAAATAACCTTCAAAGCATTGATAAGCTGTAGAAAATATTTCTCTCTGTGTATATATATATATATATATATATATATATAAATCTATACATTCAGTTAAGTAGAAGACAGTTTTATTTAACTGTTTTGACAGTGAAAGGGTGGGGTCGAGATGCCAACCTAGTAGCTCATTTAAATTCATGCAGTCTAGGAACTGGCGAAAGCAACTCGTCGGAACAGTTGCCGTGAAAATACTTACAGAAGAAACAAAGAGAAGCCACATATTAGGCTAATTGTTTTTTTTTTCTCTTTATTCAAAATGTAAGACATTATAAACCTATCAATAAATAAGTGATCACTGTGATAATTGATTATTTAAATTATTGAAAAGAAAAAGAAAGATTTATTTTAATTTTTTTTATTTGAATTTCAGAATTCATCTTTGACTTGGAGTTCAGATGAAAATGCCTGGCTAGAATTCACAGGATGCTTTCAAAACACTGTACTAGTCTGGGTACCTTCTGCCTGGCTACTGTTTACCACACCTTCTTATATATACCACCTTTACCAAAATGCACAGCAGCAGAGACACATAACTACTCAGAACCTTGCAAAATCTGTGAGTACCCTCTACCATGTATAGAATTAAAATGCATCTAATATTTGAATTAGTATCTTAGGTCTTTTGGAATCTTTTTGTATGGTTATTATTAGTAGTAGTAATACTAGAAACTAACAATAATTACAATTAAAAAAAAAACTAAACAATGATTTATTTATTTATTTATTCTTTTATAATTGTAAAAAATCATTGGGGAATTTTAATTTTTAATTTTTCACCTTTGACCACCAAAATTGTACATATGGTTCAATTAAGAAGTTCATAGAGCAACTGAGGTATTATGGCGACTGTAGTATGACCAGGAACTAAAACTGTAGTATTTTGGTGAAACAATTAGTTAATAATTACTTCACTGGATTTTAAAAATATAATACTTTTTACTTAATTGATACTGAAAAATGCACTTCCTTACAATAGTTTGCTGTTACATTTCATCTTAGTTCAACAGTCAAATGTTAAGATAGTTTTCTTTATTTCATGGTGATGAAAACCTGCTTAAATCTATGTATATCTCATGAAATGGCTGAAGTATGGATGACCAAAACTTGATAGAAGTAGTCTCTATATAAAACCAATTCTATGACTGGCTATGTTAGTTTGATTAATTTTACCATTGATATTGCATGTTATATCAACAGATATTTAAGAATAATTTTTGAAATTTCATTTCAGATAATCAGTTTGCTACTAGCCTTTATAACATTCCTGGAGCTTGTTCAGAAATTAGGAGCAGCTGGTGTAAAAGCTCCCCCAGTTTTTTATTTCTCCAGTGCATTACAAATTATTTGCTATGTAAGTATGATATACTCCCATCACTTTGTATTCCATATATGTATATATATATATATATATATATATATATATGCATGGTACTTATTGAAAAGTGCTCAATATCAGTGATAGAGCTAACATATTTAGTTGATGTTTAGTTGTGTTGATGTGAGTATGTGACCCTGGGTTTCACAGCCTTTGTGATCGTCTGGCAATCATGAAACCCATGGTCAAATACTCACATCAATGTAACTAATATACATACATACTATCAGAGTTAACTTAATCTGAAAAATGGTTTAATTGTTACAAACGAGATTTCTATCTTTCAAAAGTGATTCACCATATTTAATTGTGTACAAAGCAATTTCTTTTATGTGATTACTATATTTTTTATCTATAAAAAGCAGGACTGTTTTATTTCTGTTCAAATTTCTTGGATATAAACTGTATATAAACTGAAATCTATTTTACTAAGGAGTGAAGGCATGAAATTGATTTTACTTGAGATAAACCTTTTTTTAAACAGAAACTATGTTCTGGAATTGAAATGCAAATACTGATGGTATATATCCTGAGCTCATAAAAATTCAAGATGTGGAATTAATAAATACTAAAATACTTCAAATACATTGGTGTATGGATCAGTTATAACATATTTAGTAAAGGAGATAAGGAAATTGAACATTACATTAGCCTAAGAACAAGAGTTGTCAGATGTAAACTTTCATATGGATGTCATGAACAGAATTCAACTCTGAAATGTGTAAACATTCAGCTAAGTACAACCATTTTCTCAGATCAATCATTAAAAATGACTTCAAGCAAATGAAACCTGTAAAGAAAACTGTACTTCATCTGATTTTATAGAGTAGCACTACAAAATTACAAAGCATATTAGCAAATAACAGAAACCAAGACTTTCAATAAAAGCGACAACTAAAATGGATATCACATGGAACTCAAAGAGAAAATAATGATGTAATCAAGCTGTTGGCTTTCCACACTGACTTAAACAAAAAGTTAGGAAAGAAATCCCTATCAATACTAGAAAGAGCAATAACAGCTACTGGACTTGAGAAACCTATTTTAAAAAAAAACTGTTTTAAGAGAAAAATTTCATGAATTCCAACTGATAGTAATACTGTTAAGTCAATAAATACTGAATGTTTCCTTATAAGGAAACGACTAATCTCAGGATTAACTTTGTTTAGACATTTTAAGAAACAGTGTAAACAGAATTTGTATATCTTTTAGTGTTTAAAGATGGGGGTAATATTTTTTTCTGTCAGAAAATAGTTGTCAACTGTAAATTGTATTATGTGGTTTTTAAAAAAAATAATAAAAATTATCAAAACATTACTCGTTCATAATATCACCACTTTGCCTTTTCTGGCTTTTGAACCCAATACAAGATTGCATTGTTCATGAATAAATATGGTAACATATTTATTCATTTTAAAGTTCATTAAATTTTGAGATCCTGAGTCAGTATTGTGATGTCTGATTCTGCAGTAAGTTAAACTATAAGACCTTAGTTCTAAATATTATACAGGTTGAGTATCCTTAATCAGAAATTTCAAATTCTGGAAACCTCCAAAATCCAAAGATTTTATCATGTGCTGATATGACTTGACACAAAAAGAAAATTTCAGAAAGCACTTGGAAAGTTCTTAGTTGACGTGCATCTGTTGTAAGTTAGCTCATCTGGGTGGGGGTTCCCTTGTCCAGCTACATAGCCTATGTTGGTGCCAGTTTTTTGTTAGGGATTGTCACAGCAAAACCTTTTTCCTAGATTACTTAACGGGTATTTTATGCTCAGTAAAGATATTATTCAAAATGTCAAAAAATTTTGCAGATATCCATATGTACAGTGAAAAGAAAAAAGAAAGCATTTCTGTTCATCAATATCGCAGATGGTCAAACTGTTGGGAAAACTAGACGGGTTTAAGTGTGAAGCTTCTGACTGAGGGGTTTGGCATTGGAACAATAAGAACATTGGCATTGGAACAGAATATATTTTGACATAAGGAAACGGAAATAGAAATTGTTAAAGTTTTCTGCTGAAAGTGAAGAACAGAAATTAATGAAAAATAAAAATTCACTGCAAAGAGCAAAAAATGATAATCTTGATGGAGTGGGTTCTTCAGTGTTGGAGTGAACACATGCCACTTATCAGAATGCTGATATATATATATATATATATATATATATATATATATATATATATATATTTTCAAGAGGATAAAATCCAGGTAGAGCTCTATGTACCAGACAGAGCAAGAATATAATATAAAAAACTATAAATATAAAAGCTATATATATATATATATATATATATATATATATATATATATATATATATATATAAGATATAGATAGCTAGTTAGTTAGATTTATTACTTTATGTCAGATTAAAAATAAATTCATTAATTCTTTATAAATATATCCTTTATCCGAAAACCTCCAAATTTTTTTCTTGGTGATGACATGACATGCCAGAAATGGAAAATTTCAGGGAGCACTGGGAAGGTGATGTGCAGCTGTTGAAAGGGATCTCATCTGCCCTGGGTAAGGGTGCCTCAGCCCAGCTACATAGCCCAAGTCAGCACTAATTTTTTGTTAGTGATCATCACAGCAACACCTTTTATGTTTATCAATATCACAGAAAGTCAAACTGTTGGAAAAACTAGACAGGGGTTTAAATGTGAAGCTTCTGACTGAGGTGTTTGATGGAACAACCACCATATATGACCTAAGGAAACAGAAGGAGAAATTGTTAAAGTTTTATGCTGAAAGTGAAGAAATTAATCAAAAACAGAAAATCACTGCAAAGAGCAAAAAAAAAAGATGATCTAGCTTGTGTATTGATGGAAAGGATTCATCAGTCTTGAAGTGAACATATGTTGCTTACCAGATTGCTGATCATGAAACAGGCAAAAAGCTATCATGAGGAACTGAATATTGAAGGTAACTGTGCATATTCAGCAGGCTGATAACAGAAATTCAAGAATAGGTATGGCATAAAATATTGAAAGGTGTGTTGTGATATAACATCTACTAAAATAAAACTATCTTTAGGTTATATGTATAGCTGTGTTATTAAATGTAAAAAGATATTGTTCTTGGGTCCCATTCCCAAAATGCTCCATTTTATAGATACACAATTTAAATAGCCTGTATTCTAAAATCTGAAAAAATATCTGAAAACTGATGCACTTCTGGTCCCAAGAATTTTGGATTAATGAGTCTCAACCTGTATTTGCTTTGTTTAATCATCTAATGACTTTTGTGAAGATAATAATCCAGTGCTCTCCTTTTTTTAATTAAGTCAACTTCAAAAATTTATCAAACAAAATACAGTTTAAAATAGAAAATTTGTTTTCTAATTGTACCCAATCAACACCAGTACACTGATAACAGTGTGGGTCATGACTCCTTCTGGCAAAGATACTCTTTTCAATGATCATCATTTGCATGAGTTTAAATCTGGAAGCTAGCATGAAAATATTGAGTAAGCCTTTTTAAAAATCTGCCATAATAATCTCTACAAACCTTTTGCTTGGAGAACCTTTCTTTGCCAATGAAGAAGTTAAAAAAAATAAAGACTGAAATGAATTATTAAAAAAAGCAAGCACAAAGAAGCACTTACAAATGCTTTTGCATTTGTGAATTTATTTATTGCATATTTAACCATTTAATGGAGAAGGTTCGGATAAAATTGGAACAAAAAAGATACTTATACTTTGAATGAAAAAGAGGCAATTGAAATTTCTAAAGAAAGAGAAAAGAAGGCTTGGAGAATTTGAAACTCATAAAGGAAAGAGAAGAGGGGCAAGTAGTGAATAATCTACCTAATGAGCTTGTGTAAATGATTGGATTAGGAGAGATAGCAGAAAGACAAACCTTATAGAGTTATAAAGGACAGGAAGTTGTGGAGAGACATGATTACCTATGTTCTGAAGGGACATGGTATGTAGAAGAAGAATTAGGACCACTATTATGGTACAGAGGTAGTATATTCTATCATAGCAATATAGCACTGTAGGAATTGTGAACAAAATAGCATTGAAAAAGCTTGTGATAGTATGGACACCCAAGTAGAAAAAAGATGTGGTTTTATCTCAATCTCAAGTGTTTCTATTTTATAGCCAGCAGATTGTTCTTTATAAGTCTAGTTTTTTAAGTAGCATCCACTTTGACTGAAGGGAAACTGAAGTAAAGGAGTGGATGAGGCATTTTTGGAGATCAAGTGGCAACAAAACGGGAAATAAGGTGTATCCAGGTGCTGGGCTATATTAACAGTCATGCTTGGGATTGGGGTCAGTTCTGGCAGGAGATGGACTTGTCTGTCAAATGGATCTAATGCTTCCTATTCATATTGCCAGCCACACGTTGGAATAAGAAGATGGACAAAGAATTGGTAGAGGGAAGAGATCCATATAGTGCAAGTTGTCCAGTGTCACTTACTTAAAGTGGGGTGTAAGTGAGGCCAGGAATAAAACTGGAAACAGGGTTTGTGTTATAATTACTTGACATGGCATCTGTCTATTATCTTGTTACCTTGTAAGTTTTCAGTGTACACCAACAAGATCAAGGAACGAAATGCAGTGTGGGGTAATCACTAATTGATCAGCAGAAAGTTTGGGTGAGGGTCATGCTTTATGTTTACAAGATAAATACTTTAAACAAGTTTTTTAATATCTTTTTTTTTTATATTTTCAGCTATTAACAGGAATCATTGTCCAAGCAGAACGATTAAAAGGTGCCATCACTTCACCCACACTCTTTATTTATTGGCTGTTTACAATAACGGCTGGAATAATTCCCTTTTATTCTCGTATTCTCCAGCATGTAAGTTTGATTCTGCTAAATGCATTGTTTCATTGTTTTCATTATACAAAGGTAAATTGATAATTCTGTTTTTCTGATGCAATTTCCAGTTGAATTTTGATCTGAAATTTTCACTGCATTACATTGAATCCATTTCATCTGTGGAGAACACTGAGTTAAAATCTTTTCTTGTCTATGTACTTAGGTTAAAATATATGGGATTACCATCATTAGGCCATCAAGTTAGTGATTTATCTATGTACAATGATGTGCAAACTTTCCATTATGATACAATTCATTTTTCACATATTGAAATAGATATTTATTTTACATATAGAAGTTAGAATATGATCTTAGATGTAGAATGATTACACATATTCATTCATTTTATTCAATTAGCACATTTTGCACCATTGTTGTCACCACATACCTCCATCTCACAATTGTGTTTCATGGTGACATTCACAGAAGAATAGTGCAATGGCTTGTCAGTTCCATTTTCCCCTGGGGATGTTGCAGTTACCCCATCCCTCCTTTCAGAGGTGGATTTCTTTTTGAAGGTACCTTCTTCTAGCCTTTGCTGAAAGAGGCAGGACCTACAAGGCAGCAGGTGGTTTGAATTCAGACTTTCCTTCTCCTGGACGGGTTGCCACCCAAGGCTATAGGACCCAGTCTGTCCTGCTATTTTACCCATAGCAGGGGAGGGAGAAAAGATAGATTCATATTTTTCTCAAGTGTATTAACTCATAAATGAAAGTAATGAACTCTACTAGAATTCAAACTCGGCTCTTGGATTTCTCAATCTGAACAGCTAACCATTACTCCACTGTGACTACATAGAGTACTTATAATCCATTTCAAATACTTCTTATTCAATACAATAACATTATGGACATAACAGGAACAAAATAAACAAGGAGCAGATTATTAATATGCTTCAGTTAAGTGTATGGCATTGTCTTTCTGGTCAGTAACCTTTAGTAAATGTATTCTATAATAAGTAACTAATCTACTAAAAATTTTGGTTCAAATATCATTCCAGTTTTCAAAAACAAACTGCTCTACTAAATTTGAAAGTTGTCTTGAACGAACACTACTTTTTTAAGTTTTTTGCCACAAATATTCTATTATATTCAGTTGCAGCCTTATTGCAGATGTTAATCTTGTCTTTGAACCAATTTTTCAACAGTGCATTTGTTTTTAATACAATTATCACATTAGAAAGTAGCTTATGGCCACATCATGCTGAAACATTGGTTCCTGTATGATCATCAAAATTAAGTGATGTCAAGCCTGGTCAGTATCTGGATGGGGTGACCACTAGGGAATACCAGGTGCTATAAGCTTGGATGTGTGAGTGGTGTAATGGATAATGGCTGGGAATTCTTAATTGAAGAGATGAGTTCCAGTTCCAGTTGGGTTTGTTATATTCACTTATGTGCAAATACTTTTTGGAAATGTATGAATCCACCTCTTCTCCCACCAGCTATGGGTTAATTAGTAAAACTTGTATCACTAAAACATTATCACAAAAAAAAAAAGAAAAATAAATAAATAAATAAAAATATTTCAATCCTGATGTTTTTAAAATCTTATTTGTGTGTGGTTTGAATCTTAATGATTTTCTATTTTACTTTTTTTTTTATTTATTATTTTATGTTATTTATTTTTACTCTTTTTTAAATTTTTTTTTTTTTAAATTGAGATATAGTTAAAAAATACCGTTTTTGATTGTTTTTTTTCTAAAGAAATATGAAATTTTCTTTGGAGAAATCTTGAGAATGTACTATCATGCCTAATAAATCAGTCTGTTACAGGAATCGGCACTTTTGATGCGAGGTGTGGATATTTTGTAGTAAATGTTTAATGCTTTTGATACATTTCATTTGTCTGGCAAACAATATTAGTTAAATCATGTGAGTCTGGGCAAAAATAAGACACACAAGACATGGAATTTGAAGAAATACGTATTAATAAAAATATTAAACAGACATATTACAAAAATGAGAAATTAAATGTAAAGAGTTCAAAGCAACTTTTGGTATCTGTTTCTTAGTACCTACATGCCAATCAGAGTGAGAAGAGGACATCTTGTTGCTATCAAAGTCAGCAAAGGAAAGAGGGAGATTCTTTTAAATCTTGTGCCACCTATAATTATTGTCAAGGAATGGTAATTCAATATCTCACTGTCTATGATTATCGTCAGGTCATAATAAGTGGATATAGTTGGTAAAAAAAAAAGAAAAAAATAGATGATCGCCCAAACTGAAATTTTAGGTATGGGAAAGTACAAAAAAAATTATGCTAGAAATCAGTTTGGACATATTTGAGGACATTCATATTTGTTATAATTACATTCATTATAATTAATCTTTTTTTTATTTTGCAGCAAGAAAACTCTGATCTTGTCAGCTTTGTCATTTTCTACATTTCCTATGCATTTTTACTGATCCAGTTCATTTTATCTGCATTAATAGAAAAGAATATAGATACTGAGGTGAGCCGTTTTCAAAAAACTTATTAATTTTATTTTCTTAAAATTTTCTATGAAACATTTTTACTATTTTATTATTAGATATACTCCATTTTATTGTTTTTTTTTTTTTATCACAATGCTTTTGGTTGATACACTCTTTGATTGTTAGAGTAAACAGCAAGAGTTCATAAATAACTTCTGACAAAACTTGACCTTTAGTATATGCACATAGTAACTAGTAACCACGAGTTATGTTCCTTCATACAAGACTTTCCTGAATGAGTTTCTGATTTGGTATGAAATAAAAAAAAAAAAAAAATGCGAGCTCACTGTAAGATGCGGACACTGTATATACATTCTGAACATGTGAACTTGGAATAAACAACTGTCAAGCAGATCTCCTTGTCTTTCATACTGAAGCACTCCACTTGGAAATATTACTGACCATGCATTCCATATTTCTGGAGCTTTTCATGGGTGTCATTTTAACCAATTCTGCCATTGAAGTATTGATGATTAAATTTCTCGATTTATTTTGTCACAGCAATTGTTCCATTTGATAAATCCCTCTTTTACTTATTTAGGTACCTCCATGAAAACACTAAAAAGTCAGCATACTGTAATGAAAACATACTTTTATTGTCAAACTCATTATGTTATTAAGAGGAAGGATCAAAGTATTTTTGAGTATTTAATTAAATATTTACTCCTTTTTACAACATTTGAATTTTTGATTAAAAAAAAAATTTGTTTTTCTTGCATCAGTGGTTGTACTAACTTTTAGCACTACAAATTTTAGCCTCTTTTTTTTGTGTTGACAGACATTAATTTGAAAATTCTTACAAAAATCAAATAATTGTTGGATTTTAATGAAATTTTCAGAACGTACTCACAAATGAATGAAATTATTTTTGAAATTTTTTTAATAGAAACTTTTGGTAAAGATATTTTTTTAACATCTGTTTTACTTAATTTTATGAAAACTTTAGAAATTCAATGTGATAATTTTTAGTGACTATATTAGTGAAAAGCAGAATTCTCTGAAGAATTTAAATCATAAAATTTTTTTTTCAAAATTGGACCCAGCCTTGCTGAAAATTTATTCTGAATCAAAAAATAAATATGTAATAAAACTAAGACATCTAATTATAGAAGCCTTTAATTGCTTTTATGAATAATTTCTAATATATCTATTATTATCTGAAGAAAAAAAAATTTTCAACAAAAAATGAATTTTTGTAAGAATTGTTTTCATTTTTTACAATTTTAAATTGAATAATTTATAAATAATAATTTTATAATTTTAAAATTCTTTTTCAATGTGATAATTCTTAGGAAATATTGTTATTAAGTAAAACTATAATAATCATATATTGTAAAGTGAACATTTTAAAAAGAATTTCGATTTTTTTGGGGGGGGTATGATCATGTGCAGAATTTCTGAAGTCTAGATGACAAAACTGATAAATCTATCATTAAAAGATCACGTGTTTTAAGAGTTGTCCCCCCCTTATGGAAAAAAACCTTCATATAAAATTTATTGTCTGTTGCATCATACTTAATTATGAACAAGTTCAGCTGTCAATCAACTGTCAAAAAATTAATTAACACATCATAAAAACAAGACCCCCCAGTTAAGAAATATTTGTATACAACAGTTTATGCTATAAGTGGTATTTGTTTCAAATCAGATTAATTTAACTTTAAATTTGCTAATTTTTCTCAAATAACGTTTCTGAGATATATTTTATTTTTGTAAGATTTTTAAAACCAAGAATTAACTTTTGTTTACAAATGTGTCAAAAATGGCCGATTTTGATCGAATTTACTGAAAAAAAATAGATTCATTTTAAAAAATTAGTTTAAAACCTTACATATACTGAATTCATGGATGTATCTATAACTTATTCCATCATGTGAAATGATTATCCATACTTAAAAATAACTGTTAGATTTTTTAAAAAAAATTATTTAGAATGGAGTTATTGCTCACTGACTAAAGCTTAGGGATCAACATGAAATTATAAAAAACAAAATAAATCATTTAGTCATCAAAAGCTCTGTGCTAGATGAGAGCATTAAGCCATTAAAAAAATTCTGAAGACCTATGAAATTCCCAAACCTTCTGAATTTGAGATCAAGTAGGCAAACAGAATAGAGAATCTTTTTATTTCTGGTGAACCATTTGCCTAATTATACTATAATAGGAGTAGATATGTTCACCTATTGTCCGGTTCAAACTCCTTTCTGGTCTCTTGAACAGTTGTAAAGGTTTATCCCTTGTTTACTGTTTAGGATTGAGGTTCCAGTTTTCTCTAGTCTTTTCATTCTCTTTCATTTCTGGTGGCCCCTTGAATCTTGGTGGTATCATCATCTTGCTTGGGGTGATTACAGAGTAACCTTCTACCTCGAGTGGCTCTTAGGCCTTGTACAAGTTGAACATCATTGTAAAAAAATGTCTGTACTTTGTAGTCCTGTACCCTTTTTTCCATTTGATTCTATTTATTTTTACATCTATTTGTATTGTTATTAGGTTAGGGGTCGCTGTTTGAATTTGAGAAGGCATCATGTGTGAAACAAACAAAAATTAAGTGTTGAATTGGTTGTGAAAATAGACAAACAAAAGTGTGAAACAAAATTAGATAGAATAAAAACTTACTATTGGGAGCCTTTTAGTCTAGAGGAAATTTTAAGCAATGTTATTAAGAGTCTCTGTAAAAAGGATGAAGAAAAAGTTGAACTTGTTCTGTTGGTGAGTTAAAGAGTGAGTGAAGTGTATTAATTGTATTCATAGAGCGCTAATTTAAGCATCCTATCCCAATCTCATCCCAAAGTGAGTGCCAACTAGCCTCTTGGAATTCACAGCATACTCAAAAGCTGAGAAGGGGTTACTGCGGCTGATAGGGTTATCAGTGCATGTGTTTCTAGCAAAAAGGTTTAACATCTCCTACAGTATAAATAAACTAGGTAACTTGCTTCTATTCATCCTGTTCTGAAGATTGTTAATATTTTGATATTCATGGCTATCATGATTTTTGTTAATCAAATATTGATGAGTTAGAAGCATGATTTTCAAAAGTTAGTAAAAAATCATGATAAAAAAATATGAAAAAATAATAAACTTAATTCTTTTGATTAAATGTTTACACTAATCCTAGTAGATAAAAGTATTGGTTTGTGAATTTGGCAACATCATAATTGTGAGTTCAATCCCTAGGCCAGGCAGTGTCTACTTGGACTCAGTGGAAATGGAACAAGCAATAACTGAGTGGTATTAAATAAGAACTAGACAAGATATTCCTGGATAAAGACAGCAGAACAAGAAAAGTCGACTTCTGTAGATTATATTTTAATTTGAAATTCCATAAGGGTTATCCAAATTGACAGTCACCTGATAAAAGCTGGTGGGGTGGGGGGAGAAAGAAAAGAACACACGACATGTTCTAACCACAGCAAAGATGGGGACAGTAGTCGGCATGTAAATAATACTAACTCCTCATCCCAAAAATTAACAAATTTTTTGTATTAATTTTTATATTAATGAACTCATAAAACCTACAAAAGGCACTACTTTTTAGATCCAATATATTTCTATATTACTAAATTTATAAAATGTTAAATCAGTGATACTATTTAGATCCACTTTGTGTTTATATATAATGAATTCGGGAAACCTTCAACAAGAAGCTATTTAGTACAACAAGCAACCTTTTAGTTACAATGCTTAGTTTAGACACAAAGTTCTTTGGGGCAACATAAAAATGTCCCCACAGTATGATGTAAGTAACAAAAGGGATTATTTACAGAAAAAAACTTTTATTAAAATATTTTCTTGGGACATACATATTACATAAGAATTAATTTCCAGATGTCTTGCAAAAATCTTGTGTTTCATCTTTGAAAGAAAATAACATACTATATTTATTTTATTCTTTTAATAAAAAATGATTGATAATTAGAAAAATGATTTTCTTTAAGCATAAAATGAATTCTAACAATTTTTAAAATTAATTTTTCAGAATTTATGTCCAGAAGATAAGGCATCAGTTCCATCATTTTTACTTTACAATTGGATAAACAAGTAAGCTTTTTTTTTATGAATGGCAATATATATGTGAGGATGTCTGTTTTTTGTGTTTAAATTTTATGTTTTCATGTCTATTATGTATTGAAAACAAATGTGAGCTAGGGAATTTGATAGGTGAGTGGGGTATATATATATATATATATATATATATATATATATATAAAATCTCTCTCTTACACTCTTTCACTAGCTATCTCTCTCACTCACTCACTTTCAATCTCTCTCTCTCTCTAATATATATATACTCACACACATTTCAAAATTCTCTATTGTGAATCAAATAAGGTTTGAAAACATGGATATCATAATTCTATTCAAATCATAATTGTCCTATGTTGAATCTTATGAGATGTAGATATACCAAATGTTTTGGTATTTCTTTTTGGCTTTTTATTATGTATAAAAAATAAATTTATTTTCAAGATTTTTTTTTTTTTTAACCATTTAAATCCAAGATGATTTCTATTAAAAAGAAACAACTTATCTCTTTTTCTATTTTTAGCGTTTTGTTTTTGTCATATAAAGGAAAACTGCATGACTCTGATATTCCAAGCCTTCCAGTTAGAAACCAGAGTCAGTTTTTGATAAGCAGTTTTGAAAGGCATTGGAACAAAGAAGTTAGACGATGTGAAAAACTCAAGTAAGTCACTTTGCAACTGAAATTACACAAACAAAAATTGTTTGATAGTCTGCAAATATATGCTTACCATAATGTTCAAGCTTTAACCTGGGATAGTTTCTAATTTTTATTATAGGTTTAGTTTTCTTGTATCATTGTATCTCATATCATAGTTTTCTTGTATCAAAGTGTTTCCAGAATTTTACATTTATTCACCTTCAGGGCTGATGCAAATAAAATAAATGTGAATAGCTTATAGCACTAGTCATGTTGAAAATGTGACATATGGTAAGCTGAGTATTAATCAATGTTGGTAAAATTTTCAGGATATATTTCTATAAGCAATATATTGAGTATTTACATCATTTACATGCAGGCTATTATCCCCATCTTTAATGTTATCACAGTGTTTTGACCATTGTGCTCTCTGGTCATCATCAGGTGTTTTTATATCTGAGTAACCCTCAGGGTATTTCAAACTGAGCTCTTTATTTTATCCACAAGGGTAGATTGTTCTCGTCCCACTGCCCATATCCAGGGATATCTATAAATAGATACAATATAGGAGTCATTAATAAAGAAAAGTGACAGCAATGCTTCAACAGCAGCAGAAAAGTGAAAACCTCAGTTAGTGCAGTCAAGTGTGGTAAGTAGCAGCAGCAGCAGAAATTATCAGCAGGAAGGTTAGGTTTAAGGCTCCAACTTCTCCACTCAGAATTGTTCCACTAGTGGATTAAAGCATTGGTTTATGAATTTGGTGACACCATAATTCCAAGTTCATTTCCTGGGTGTACTTGAACTCTATGAAAATGTGATGAACAGTAACTGATCAGTACTAAATAAGAACTAGATGAGATATCCCTGGACATGGGCAGCAGAACAATAACAATCTACCTCATGGATTAAATAAAGACTTCAGTAAAAATTTCCTGATGAAGGCACAACAGATGAAATGTCATTAAAAAACAGGGCATTAATCCACATGTGAATAATATAAATGATAACTACTCGTAGAAATTCAAGCAGACAATATGGAGATCTTAATAAATGTACTCTTATCAAAATTCTGATAACCTGCTTTAAAAACAAAGCACAGCATAAATTTTTATATATATAATAAATATGAATGTCGGTGTGTCACTGTGTCACACTTTTTCAACTTTACTCCTTGAGACTGTCACCCAGCATATCATACTTTTTTTTAACATGAATTTTTTTTTTTTGCCACGGATTTTTTTGTACAATAACAATTTTTATAACTTGGAAATAAATTTGTGAATAATCAAAATAAATTGCAAAGTTCAGCAAAAGTCACCAGTGAAATAAAGATAATTGATTTTGTACGGAAAGTAAGGACCTATGTACATCAAATTGCTTTAAGTGGCAGTAGAAGAATTATTGTTGAACTTTTAAAAGGTAAGCTTAAATATTAATGCAATACTTAAATACAGCAATCAATTTTGAGTTCTTCTGTAGTATATTGTTGCCTATCACATCTACTCCTCCCTACCTTTTGTGATGAAGACCCAACCAAGAGCCCTCTGTAGGAGCTAGCTTAAATACCAATAGGACAGCTTTTAAGCTAGTTTATAAATAAATCCATAAGATATAAGCTATAGAAATATGTAAATAGTGAATTTCATTTCTCCAGGTCAACTTCCAATATGTTAACAGATATTATTGAATTTGTCTATCAAGCTTTAGATAAGAATGGTGAAGCTCTGGCTGTTGCTTTTGGATTTCTCAAAGGCATTTGACAGGGTTTTGCATGCTGGTCTTCTTCATAAGTTGCAAGGTTTTGGTATTTCTGGACAAATCTTTGATCAATTTTTCTTAACAAATTGTAAGATGAAAGTTGTCTTAAATGGCCACTCTTCTAGATCGTTTTGCATTAATGTGAGTGTCCCTGAGAGCTCTATCCTCGGACCTACATTATTCCTAATTTTCATCAATGACTTTTCTGATGTCATCAATTCTCAACTTGGTATCTATGTTGATGAAACAACTATTTACTCTTGTCAATGGTAAGTCTGTTCAATTTGATAATGTCAAATTGTCTTTTGTTTCTCTATGTCTGCCACCATTGTGTTAACAGTTATTAGTGAATTTGTCTATCAGGCTTTACACAAGAACAGTGAGGCTCAGGCTGTGGCCAATAAACATCTCTTACTACACCCTTTTAACATGATATCATCACCCATTATCTTGAGTGGTTCTTGGGTCTTCTATTGGTTCAACAATCATATATTAAAAAAAATACTTAAAAAGACCATCACCATTTACATTTAATTTTATAGTGTTATTAGCAGCCATACCCAGCTGGTTGATCGGAAAAAGCGTTCAATTAGAATGGAGCAAAAACAGCATCATGTTTAGATGTAACACAGTCTATCTTCTTCAATTACTTTAAAGTACTTTTATAAAAAAAAATTTTGAATTAATGCAGTTACTGATATAACAGAAGTAGTCTGTATTTATTCAATCGAAGTTAGCTGAGGACATAAAGGTGTAAAACAGGCAACATGAAGACCTACTTCAGATCACAATTATTTTGGACTTTTTGAAATTCAATTTGTCAGTGTGCTATCAGGGATGTAAAAGAGGATACATTTATAAAGCAATTGTTAATTTTTGATGAAAACTTGTTGAAAGATCAACAAAAAATAAGAAAGAAACCAGTAAAAATTGACATTTTTCATTATTTACACAGGTTTTTACCATATGGGTGGACTCAATTATCAAATTAAATGACTGTTAAACAATTAACTTATTGTTGGCTACAATTGAGTGAAGTTTATCTCAGATTGCTTGAAAATTGAGGAAATTTTTAGTTTAAAATTTGTGTTGAAATCAATTTTTCGTTTTTTGTGGTTTTTTTGCTAAATGCAGTGGTGTAGAAATAAAAATGAGTTATCGTTGAGCTTGTCATGATGTAAGTAACCTACATACCAAGTTTGAACAAAATCAGAGGAAAAAAGTTGAATTTATTGATTTTTGATTGGCTTTATCGATTATTGACTTTTAAAAATTATTGATTTTATTACACTAAGAACCTATCTCTTACATTGTACAATGTATATGCTAAGTTTGGTCAAGATTGGTTGGATGAATCTCAAGAGAAAAGGTATCACAGACAAATACATAGACATCTGTTTTATATATAGAGATAAAGTTAAGTACAATAGCTTATTGGATTTCTCAAATTGGCATGTAAGATGTTGGGAATTTTTTTTTATATAAGTAAATTTGCTTTGTCTTTGGACTTTTCTTTTGCTGGAATTACATATTTTCTGCTTCTTTTTTATAAATAAAGTAAATATTCATTAATTTTTAGTTTTTTTTTTTTTTTCATTAAGCTTCTGTGACCATATTGATAAAAACAATGTCCATGTCAGATATGCTCCTTGGATATAGGATGAAAGATGTTCAATTCTTGGAATTTATTTTTGACAAGACCTGTTTGCTTTAATGCTCATAAAATATATTGACCTATAAAGCAGCAAAGATTAAAGGAACTAGTCAAAAATAATAATAAAAGTTTCAGCTGATTCTAGACTATGAAGATATTCATATATTGTAAAATACATTGTTTCTTATTGCTATGAACATTGTATTTAGTAGGTACACCTATTTGAGTAGACATCGTTTTTCTTTTTTTAAACAGTGAAATTAATGTCAATCAACCCAGAGCGTCTTGGGTAAGACAATAAACTATGTCCAACAGCAAGGCCTCTGATCAGGAGGTTTTGAGGAGCGTGGAACCACCTCTTAATTGCTGGTGTTCCCAGGTCCACCCTGACCTGGGGTGGTAGCACCTGTTAGGGTCCCAGCTATGGGAAAATGGTTGACCCCACAACCTGACTCAAAACACTATGAAAGTGTAAAAATAGATTTTAATACCAGAAATACTTTTAAAAAAAATTTATATCAGCAATAAATATTTGAAAAAAGAAAATATTACCAGAAATAAAAATCTTGTCAGTATTAAATAACCCATTGAGGTTAATATGCCACAAAACAAAACAAACCAAACTATATATTTTAAAAAAAATTATTACCAACTATACATTTCTGAAAAAATTACCAACTATACATTTTTGAAAAAAAAAAAGGAAATTTTGTTGGCATTAAATAACCCATTGTGGTTGATATGCCATAAAACAAAACAAAACAAACCAAACCAATCAACCCAGAGTTTGTCCTACTAAAGAAAATGTCTCTTGACAGTGTTGGGTTGTTATTTTATAATGCTTCCTTACTTCAAGGATCTCCCAAACAAGAATAATGTACAAAAAAGGGAAATGAAAAGAAGGGTGCCAAAATATGCTTACCATTTTTATTAAATACAACAATGTAAAACAACAATATAATATGACATAAATATGGTACTTACAGTCAATGAGGTTTGCATTGTACAACATTACTATTTTCGATCTAAGGTGATGTGAGATCATCAACTACCATGCATGAGTATCTTTGTCCCTCATGGTGTGAATCTAGATGTTGGTTGTAGAATATGTTTCTCTCACCTCTTCTCTGGACTTGGCTGGTATCTTATTGTGGTAAGGGCCTTAATCCATCTAGGTTATCCTACTGTGTCAAGGGCATTAACTTATCTCTCTAATCTGCTCACTCGGTGGAGTGTTCTATCTAAAATCCTATAACAGGAATTAAAGCTAAGTGTGCTTTACCAATTAGGCCACAGGAAGCTATCATGACAAATCAAGACTTATCCTAAGAAATGCACATCTTTCATTGGGACACCTTGAAGTCTACATCTACTAATTTTAGTTTCATACTTGAAATATAAACAAATTAATTTTTAAGTAATTAATGAACTTTTTTAATCCAACATCTTTTCTTATTACTATAAATTTTATAATCACATGGGCATCTCTGCTTTTTTTTTAACAGTGAAATTAATGTCAACTGGCTTAGAGATTGAGAAGTCCCACATAAAGAAAATGTGCCTCCGAACAGGAATCAAACCTGTATCCTCTTTTCCCATCTGGGAAAGCACCTTTTCTGTGTAACATTTCACCCTATCCCCAGAAGAAATCACTATGTTGAAATGGGTAAACTGCCCATTTCTGAGTGATCTTGGGATTTTGTTTTGTATTTTTTTAAAAATCCATAACCCACAAGGGGCACCATATGTACTATAGTTGCAATAGCAGTGGTGTTTCCTGGGTAGGATAGTCTAATGGAGCCTAACCCACTCCAAGCTGGTTTTGAATTCAGTTTTTCTTTCTCCTAGACCAGTTACCACCCTAGGATATAGGATCTACTCTCTCTTGCTACTTACCCATAGCTCAATCCAAGCTACTATCCATTACTCTGCTTGTAATATAGTAGAAAGTAAGTCTATTTCTAGAGTTGACCTCTTAAAATGGAATTGGCTCTGCAGATCAATAAACTTTTAAAGACATGTTTAAATATAGCAATATATTAAAAATTGGTTCATTGTAATTGTTTAGCACATGGAAAAGGCATGTGAAGGTTAACTATTTTTTTAATTTTATATTTAGTTTAGTTTTAATATTCAGGAAATATTGAACATAGAGAAAACAGAGATGCCCACGTGAATATAAAATTTATGGTAATAAGAAAAGATGTTGGATTAAAAAAGTCCATTAATTGCTTAAAAATTAATTTGTTTATATTTCAAGTATGAAACTACAGTGTAACAGATTTTGATATTATATTAATGCAATTATTAATTTTTACTTTTATTTATTTTCATACAGCATAGGGAAACTGGTAATGGATATTTACATTATTTATGTTCAGACTAATATCCTCATCTTTGTTATTTTGGTTGAAGAACCGAAGGAAAAAGCAAATAAAGAAAAAATGACTTACCACTGGCACAAAGACTTTTAACGTGCACTGAATCTAGAAAAGTCCAGAGAGAGAGAGAGAGAAAAAAGATGGTTGCTCATAAGGCACTCATTTTATTTTTACATTCTTGCAAATATAAGATTTTGCTGGTAACATGCAAATTTCTGACTGTTGAAAAGAATATAAAATTTGCATTACTTTAGGGCAGTGGTTCCCAGACTTTTTTCTCTGGGCTGCATTTTCGAAAATAAAATTTGCTCATACATCACCAAGTTTTATGTAGTAAAAAGTACATTTAAAGATAAAAAATTGAGAGTGGGTTAAAGGGAGATAATTGTGGATTCAAAGTCAGGACATTATCATTGTTAACTCTCTCCTCCAATTTGTGGACTGTAGTTACTATATTTGTAATACTTGATACAAAGCAAAAATATCACGATGATAAAATCGGTCAATAATTATTTATAACTGTTTATACTGGAGCTCCTGCATGGAATTACAAGTAACCCATAATGATATTTTAAATTTTGAAATATTTATTTTTGGCATATGAATGTTTTGAAACATGTTGTAACGGAATGTCCCACACTCCTTATCACCTATGTGGACTGACTATATCAGTAGATATATATAGTGAGCACAGGATATACCTGGTGACTTGCTTTGGGAATTATTAGCCTGATAACTAATTCCCTGTCTTTTAGAAGTGTATTATCTTTTAGAATAAACCTCTCTTTTTTTTATCTATGTCCTTGTTGCTGTTCCTTTCACTTGAGTACCACCTTTGTCTGTTTGTAACCTTTTTTAAGGATACAACAAAACTGTTTCTAAATCTTTGATTGTCTTTCAATTATTCTGCCACAGCTATGAGGCATTGCACACTGTTTGGGAACCATTGCTTTAGGGGAAAGAGAAATTGTTTTAGAGCTTATGATTGCCATATAGTGGAGTGTAAGTTTTCTGCAATGGACAAATGTTAAGAGCACGAGAGATAGAGAAGAGGAAAGAAGAGATTTATTGTTGCAAAAGCAAACATCAAAGAACCAATGAGAAAGTGAAATTGATTCTCTCACACGTGAACACAAACTACAGTTATTATCATAACATTTCAGCCATTGCGATCTCTTGCTTTCATAGATGCAGATACTGGGGACATGAACTTTGCATGCTGAGGAATTCAACATATGTTGTTGTTAAAAACAGTTTATTTTTTTTTTTTATCATATCCAGTGGTACAATTATTATGGGTATGACAGTAATTTTAAGGTGCCACATTTTTTTTTCAGTTTCAATTTCAAGATACTTATATTTTTTTGTAATATTCTTTAACAGACATATTTTTATCTGGTGATACTGCCATATCTATTATTATTATTATTACTATTATTTATTTTTATTTTTTTTCAGGAAAAAGAAAGACTTTTGCCCCCCAAAAGAACAAGAAATCAATGTATTCAATGAATCTACTCCTCTGCTCGGGAAATACAAAAAATTTGAAGATACAAACACTGAAGAAATAAAGAGTTCATTTCTTGATGAAGATAACAAAGATGCATTTGCTCCTTCTCTCATCCGTGCTCTAATTTATAATTTCAGTGGCAGTTTTTTAGTAGCTTTTACTTGCAGATTGGTTTCTGATGTAATAAGCTTCTTAAACCCCGTACTACTCAAGTGAGTTACTTTTATCTTTTTTTTTTTTTTTTTTTTTTTTTTAACTTTTGCAAGCCAAACTGATGTTTTAGCTATAATTTTTCTATTTGCAAGCTTGCTTTTTAATTTAGTCTGTTCTTCATTACCTTCTGTTGCAAACCAATCTGTTACCTTACATGTTTGATGACATTGTTGGTAATAAGGTGCTACAAATAGATGATGTTGCTATTGATCACTAGCTTGTAGCAGGAGAAATTACGACTTATTGCTGATTAGGATGAAGGTTTTCAAAACAAATGAATTTTAACCCATGAAGGATTTTTATACATACAATTTATATATATATAATGGAGAACATGCTTACAATGAAGAGAAAATTATATTTACACACTTATAGTTAAAAAGAAAATGGAATAAAACATTTATATAGTGTGTGTGCCTGAGTGAGTGATGTCCCTGGAGTTTGTTTTTGTTAAATTCCATGCTAATAGGAATATATACTTGAAAAACATGGCTGATAAAATAAGTAAAGGTTTATTACAAAAACCACTACAATAAGAATAAAGGTAACAGTTATGCACAAGGTTGTTGCAAGTCAATCCAGTAGTGAGCGCTACTATTGGAAGGTCGGTAGTTCTCGCATAAGTCTGAGTTGTACTCAACAGATCCTAGCTAGTCTCTGTAGTTTGTTGACTTATAGCTACTTATAGGTAGTTATTACCTATAGTGTAGTCACTCATGGGGGTGACAGGTTATTCCATTACATCCGGTTGAAATTAAGTAGTTGACTTGCTGGGCAACTAAGTCTTCCTAGAGTGGAAAACTAGATGTATCTGTTACCTGTTTCATTCAGTTTTTGAGTAGGCCAAAATAGGGAATGAGTCCTTTCCTTTAGCTGATTGCCATGTCATCTAGCAGGAATCCTGGCAGATAAGGTGGGATAATGCCCACAGCATATAAAACCCATATTTCCCTAAATTTTTTTTTCTTTACCCTTTGTTAGTGCTAGGGGGCATTATCATAGCATTAGTATTTCTCATCTTCAGTATGACTGCTTGTTTCTGAGCATGTCTCTCTGCTCAAGTCCATTTGTGTTTTCTTCAATACCTACACAGCCAACCCATGGTTTATATTTTAACTCTGCTGATCATGCATTAGTTACAGTTAATCTGTTGTTTGAAAACATACTTAATGTTTTCAAACACTACATTTAAAATATAGATATATCATTTACCTTGGTATATCATTTACCTTGATAAAGTCCACCAGAAGACAGAATGCATTGGCTAAGATAAGTTTTCCTTTTGTCATTTTTCATATCATTTAGTTCTTAATATTCTTAGTATAAATTCTTGTTATGAATTATTTTGAGGAGTGTTCTGTTTTTTATAGTATTAAAAATAATATGAATTTGTAAATTTTAAAAAAATTCAAATATGCAAAAATAGGTTTAATTTTATTTTTGGTAAACAAATAAAACTGTTTGGAATTCACACAAATAATGACTAAAGCCATAAACTGCTTGTAGTTACTTGTTAGTAGTGTTCAGTAAGCAACTTGTCTCATGAAAATTTGACTTTCCATTTTAAATATTCAGGAAAAACATTTTAACTGGGTTAATACCTGTTGGCACTGGTAGGATGTCTCATATGATTCAAAGTGTTATATGCTATCATATATGTTATTTTCTTTTCTTGCTTCTTGTCTTGTTTTTCTATTTAAACTTTCTTGTAACTTTTCATTCAAATGTGAGCCTGCCTTTTGTCATTTTTAACATACAGATATTGGCATATCAAATAAGTCCTGGGTATGATGATAAACTACATCTAGCAGCAAGGCATCTGATCGGGAGATTGGAGGTTTTGAGGAGTGTGGAATCACCTCTTAATTGCTTTTGTTCTGTTGTAAAGTAGTTTCACATTGGAGGCTTGTATTTCACTAAGTCGGTTCTAAAATAGGTTCAACGTACAAAACGTTAGGAACTTGATATAATAAGTAATGACGCAGAGATCTAGTAGTGGTCGCTGATACTTTAATATCCAACTACGGTTGTCCGACATTGACTGACTGACCAACTCACTGAGCGACTTCGCGACTGACTTGTTACTATTACTACTACTACTTATTATAGGTGGGAGAGTCTATTAACTATAGAATAGGTGTGTTCCACTATAACATGTTCCCAGGTCCATTTTGACCTGGGGTGGTAGCACTGGTTAGGGTCCCAGCTAGGGACAGATAGTGAACTCCCAAACAAAAACACTATGAAAGTATAAAAATACATTTTTATAGTAAAATTACCAGCAATACATTTTTGTATAAAAAAAATTACCAACAATACAATTTTAAAGCAATACATTTTATGTGTAGTTGAAGCCATAAAATTGTCTTTAAAATATTTACATTTCAGTATTGAATAATCCTTAGAGGTTGATATGCAACTAAACAAAATCAACCAACATGAAAGAACTCTTTTGTGACATTAATCCATATAATATCCTACAATTTCTTAAAAAAATCAAATTGTATTCCAAAATATAACTTCAACAAAACTACAACATAAAACACACATATCTTTGCCTCTAGTAATTATGTCCACACAAACATGTATATACACAAAGGCTGAGTATCATCTACCATGTATTCAATAACATATATCATATTTTTATTACTTCAAAGCTCCCAAGAAAATTAAATTTTGGTATTAAATGACCCATAAGGAGCTGATGTGCCATTAAACAAATAAAATCAAGTCAAATAACTACTAATTGCATTCATTTTATTCCTTTCAGTTTTTTGATTGCCTTCACGGACAGTAATGATCCCATCTGGAAAGGTTTTGTGCTTGCTGTTGGTCTTTTGGTTACAAAAATCTTCTCCATTTTCATTCTCTCACAGTTTGAACGATTAAACCTGACCACATGTATGCAAATGAAGTATGCCCTGATTGGTGCAATCTATAAAAAGGTATATTTTAAAATACATAAAATTCTGTTTGCCAGCTTCTAAAATGTTTTTTTTTATTTTCACAAGAGCATTTTATTTATCTTTTTCTCTCATTTTCTTTTTGACTGGTTATGTCACTGATTGACTGTAACATCCTTCTTGTAGGCCAACAAAGGAACACAAGTTTGATGTGAAACTTGGCAAAATTGAACTTTCATGTCTACAAAGAAAAACCAAATATGAAAAAGACAGTTTTTTTTTTTTTTAAAATGTCATTATTTTAACTACCTTCACTTCTTGGTAATGTTATTCTTTTAAAAAGCAATGATTAGAAATGTAATAAAACCTAAACATATGATGAAAGTGAATTTACACATTTTTTTGGTTCTTGAGAATTTACAACAAAAATATTGTCTTAATTCCTGTTCTTTAATTTTCCTCTCTCTTTAATAATGTTTTTCTTTTTCTCATATTCTTTCACACACAATTACCTCCTTATGCTTTAGTGGCTTTATTGCCTTGCTTGGAGTGAAATGATTTAAAAACATACATTACCTTCAGCTGATTGGCTTTTTCTGTAAGTTTTAAATAAAAATAAATAAGTTTGTAAAATTAAAAGCATGTGATGGAGCAGACAGAAATAAATACTGAAATATTAATAATCAGCCAAATTTCTTGTTTAATCTAATAAGGATTTATCTGAAAGAATAATATTTTTTTTCAGATTTATATTCTTTCATTTGTAATGTTAGTAAAATCTGATAAGAATATGAAACTAAATTTTTCAAGTGTAAAATAATTGTTTATTCAATTCTGGACTCAAGGGCATGTGGTTTTGGGTCTTTCTTTGAACATTCAATCTTCTTGCAAGGATATGATAGATTATCCCTCTCCCTTTGTAAGTTAGGTGTTTATATAACTTCCTATTATACATCTTGTGTTTATATTCCAGGTTCAGCTGGATTCATTTCTCATTTCTTTGTTTATGTTGGTGCACCCACTGACCTCCTTTGAGGCCTGATTCTGTACTTGGCGACTTTGAGGTTACCCTCTAGATCAAATTTTGGGGCTTTTAGTTTTTGTTTTTTTTTTTAGTTTTTTTAATTTTCAGAATACAGAACTTATCTCTTGGAGTGAACCCAGTACCTATTAGGGCCACCACAGATCAACTCTTAGTTTAAAGATGCTATATCAGAATTAATTTTCTGAAGTGTGTAATTCAGCAGTGAAGTGTTATTTATCACTTGTCTTGTTAATCAATATTTGATTATCCCAAAAAGCAAACTAGTAACATTTCACCGTAACTGAGCAGACCCTGAATTTTCACCAATCAGGATGAATGATTGTTTTCTCAAGTAGGCTCCTTGCCTAGAACAACCACTGGGACTTAAGTTCACCCTAAAACTCAAGTGGAACTCATATATACAATACATCACTTAAGAAGTTGGAACAATAGTTAGTTCATTGTACCATTCCAGCAGGTATCTGATTCCTCCTGTTATGTGCTATCTTTACAATAGCCAAAAATGGAGTACTGCTACAATATTTGGGCTGGAGCTGCACAATCTTCACTTTCCAACCTTGATAGAATTCAAAAGCAACTATGTGGTCTTGTGGATGATGAATTATTTTCCACCTTACGACCTCTTTCTCATAGATGAAATGTTGCAGGCCTCTAGTTACTCTTTTACTATTTCCATGGAAAATGTTCTGACAAGATGCATTCCTTAGTTTTGATCTTCACAGCTAAGACCTGTCATGCCATTTACACTGATGAATCCTCATCATTCCCCCATATTCCATTAGTGAGAAGCAAGTTCCACTCGGACAGCTTCTTTCCAAGAAGTAAGAAGCAAGTTCCACTCGGACAGCTTCTTTCCAAGAAGTATGAAGGAAGTTCCACTCGGACAGCTTCTTTCCAAGAAGTAAGAAAGAAGTTCCACTCAGACAGCTTCTTTCCAAGAAGTAAGAAAGAAGTTCCACTCGGACAGCTTCTTTCCAAGAAGTATGAAGGAAGTTCCACTCGGACAGCTTCTTTCCAAGAAGTAAGAAAGAAGTTCCACTCGGACAGCTTCTTTCCAAGAAGTATGAAGTTCCACTCGGACAGCTTCTTTCCAAGAAGTATGAAGGAAGTTCCACTCGGACAGCTTCTTTCCAAGAAGTATGAAGGAAGTTCCACTCGGACAGCTTCTTTCCAAGAAGTATGAAGGAAGTTCCACTCGGACAGCTTCTTTCCAAGAAGTAAGAAAGAAGTTCCACTCGGACAGCTTCTTTCCAAGAAGTATGAAGGAAGTTCCACTCGGACAGCTTCTTTCCAAGAAGTATGAAGGAAGTTCCACTCGGACAGCTTCTTTCCAAGAAGTATGAAGGAAGTTCCACTCGGACAGCTTCTTTCCAAGAAGTAAGAAAGAAGTTCCACTCAGACAGCTTCTTCCCAAGAACTGCTACTTTGCAGGATAGACATCTGGGTGGATATTTTCCTGATCACAACAATCTTAATCTAATTATGTCTAGGGTTAACATAACATCATTGACTGCTCTTCTTACCTTCTCTTCTTATGCTCATATTACAACCCTCTTGCTTGAATGGCTCTTGAGGTTTGTACTAGGTAAAAAATAATGAAAGTTTAATTTGTTTTGAATTATATATATATATTCTTTCTGATATATTTCAATGGATGACGTTGTTTTCACAGTCACTCAAACTCAGTAGTGAAGCGAAGCAGAGATTTACAACAGGAGAAATTGTAAACCTGATGTCTGTTGATTGTGAACGAATTGATGAAAGATTGCAAGTTCTCTGGATCCTGTTGTCATCCCCACTTCAGATTTCTATCGCATTATACTTTCTCTATAACATCCTTGGAGTGTCTGCATTTTCTGGACTTGCTATCATCATTGGTTTCATCCCAATTAATTTGCTGGTCACCAAGTACATGGGAGTTTTTGCTCTGGCTCAAATGAAGGTGAAAGATCACAGACTGAATATCTTTGGTGAGGTTTTAAATGGAATCAAGGTAAGTTAGTTTCTTTAGATTAATCTTGCTACAGGTACAAAATCTCTTCACCGAGATCCTTGGGACTAGAAAAGATTTGGAATTTTTGGAGTGGTATATGTACCATAATACAGAATGCGTCAGAAAGACCTCCCACATATATATCCCAATAATGGCAATGATATCTTCATCTAGCTAATGTCTTACCATTATGTTGTAGGTATTTATAGGCAGTATATATAGGAGGTATTTGTGCTGCACACTGCATAAGTTAGATAATGAAGTCAGTTGTTGTCCAGAGGGATATCTTCAGGAGTTAGCTTTTTTATTTCTCAACATAAAAAAGGCACTAATATTCAGGGAACTTAAAGCAATTATTTGCATCATTTTACTTGTAATTATTACCAGATGACACAAATCATAGTCAGAGCATTATTTAACCTTTAGCATTACTAATTTTGCTTCCCTTTCCACTGCATTCTTTTTCAATGCAGTATCCTTATTGTCAATTTCACTCAAAGTTGTTTTCTGCTGTCATAGCGGGATATAACAACACAACTATGAAATTGTTCATGAATCAGTCACCTTCAGTGGCAGGATAAACTTTTTGTACAGCAAACGAAGTCACATGCAGATAAAGGTTAAACAAATTAGTTGTAAATAATCAATGTTATATTTTTATTGTCATCTGTCATTTATATTATTGCTAACTAAAACTGTTTTATATTTACACAAGTAGCAAAGTAATTGTTCTAAGTAACATGGTTATTTGAAATAAGTGCTGTGTAATTTGTTGTAGAAAAAAATATCCATAATTAGCAGAAGTATTCTTAATTTCTATATAGGAAACAGCTCTGTCGGCTGGGGCTTCAGAATATGCTGACTGCACCTCTGCAAAGGGGTAAAACCCTACCTCATCTCTGCTGAATGAGGCATCCTGGGTATGATGATGAACTACATCTGGCAGCAAGGCCTCTAAGCAGCTGGTTTTGAGGGGTGAAGAACCACCTCTTAATTGCTGTTGTTTCCAGGTTCACCCAGACCTAGGGTGGTAGCACCTGTTAGGGTCCCAGCTATGGGCAAATGGTTGACCCCACAACCTGACTCAAAACACTATGAAAGTGTAAAAATAGATTTTAATACCAGAAATACTTTTAAAAAAAATTTATATCAGCAATAAATATTTGAAAAAAGAAAATATTACCAGAAATAAAAATCTTGTCAGTATTAAATAACCCATTGAGGTTAATATGCCACAAAACAAAACAAACCAAACTATATATTTTTAAGAAAATTATTACCAACTATACATTTCTGAAAAAATTACCAACTATACATTTTTGAAAAAAAAAGAAAATTTTGTTGGCATTAAATAACCCATTGTGGTTGAAATGCCAGCAATACATTTTTTGAAAAAAATTGTTACCAGCAATACATTTGACTCTTGATAAAAAACCCCTTTACAAAAATACATCAGTGAAACCTGATCTACAAACTGATTTCTTACCAAGAATACATATTCTATTCATATAAATCTATCCTAAAAATCTTGGCATTAAATAATCCATTGAGGTTGATATGCCATAAAACAAAATATACCAAACTATCCTGGAAGCTGGTAAATTTACTTGATGGAATGTCATAAAAGACAATAAAAATGAGAATAATAGTCTGTATAAACCATTATTTCTTTTTCTCAGAATTTTAGTCAGTTTTTTAATTAATGGCTTTTCCATATAATATAGCAAATTTTTACAAGAACCCATTACATTTCATTTTTGTCTCTGATAGTAACCCTTCACCACAAGTATACCAGATCTCCACATGTTTCAACATTGTTTCATAAAAATTTAATGTACAAATAATCTGGTTAATATCTTTGTTTCAAAAACTGAATTTAGATTTTGTGCTCTCCTATGCCAAATAATCATGGTGGAGGATGAATTTTTTTTATAACCAACTATATCCACATATGATCCTACAACATTTTCAAATTGTTTGCACTGACCCTCTTGATTTGTGTTAAAAAAAAAGAAGGCACCTGTGTTATTAACTTGTTTCGACACTCACCTTCAAATTAAAAATTCTCAAGAAATTTCTTGCCACCGCCAGTTATTAGCTTCTTCCACCATCTTATCAGGCCTGGGAGAGTAATCAAATTGATTTGTATATTTTAATGTGGAATTTTTATTTCTTTCATTTTAGGTTCTTAAGCTGTATGCATGGGAAGGATCATTTGAAGACAAAATCAAAAATATACGTCAGAAGGAGATGATTTTACTCAAAAAATCAAGTCTCTTTCTCTCAGGTCTCTGGTTTATATGGACAATGTCACCATTCGTAGTATGTAATATAATGTTTTCTCTATTTGTGTCACATTAGATCAAGTATAGTATTTTCCTTTGCTGAATTTGAAATGTAATGTGGAATTTTTTATTTTTTCCTTCAATCTCACTCCATGTCAAAGGGGTACTGAATTTTTTTATTCTTACCCTCTTGAGCTTCCATATTATTTATTTGAAACTTATTGTATACCATTTTCATTTTATTTATTTTTATTATTTAATGATTCCCCAACCTTTATTTTTGTCATAAAAGTGAATGGTTTTCTAATGTTTCATATAATATTCTTTTATCTCTTGTGATGTAGGTTGCATAGTTTTAACTAGCATGTAATGTTTTAGAAATTTGCCATCAGTAACACAGGCATATTGAATAAATGTCATAAAAGTGATTAAGAGTTTTACTGTACAACAGATGATTGCCAAAATATCACATTATTTTTCATTTTTTTTTTTTTTATTTTGGGATAAGCATTATAAAAAAAAATAGCTAGTCAAAATATTGAGAGTCAGAATTAAGTTATTTTGATCACCTCATTATAGATAGGAAATGATAAAAGTTGGAGTTGCTTTGTCAGTTGGGATAAAAACATGCCAACTGCCACCCTTTGCAGAAGGTTTTGCAAGTGAGCATTTGTCCTAGAAATAAAAAAGGGACCACCTGTTTAATGTACTTATGTCTATCTTTTTGGTTCTTGTGCAAACGAAACCTGCATCTATCTTTTTGGCTCTTGTGCAATCCAAAGCTATGTATTTATATTGTTTATCAAAACAACAGAATTTGGCATTAAATAACCCAGAAAAGTTTGATATTCTTTAAACCAAACAAATTCTGGAAATTAATTAAATAGAAATTTTTAAAGCTATATATAGGGATATTTAATCAATAGGAAAGTTTTCTACCAAAAATAGACTCTTTCAGGTATATATAACCTTTACTTTGTGCTTATGATAGTAACAATCTATCCCTAAGATACAAGACCTTTTGTATTTTTTCAGTCCAGTGGTAGTTGTTAATTTTTCATATAATATTCTGCTCCTCTCCTTACTGCTTATATGGTTTCTGTTCCTTAGCTATGCTAATTAGGCAGTCATTTACATATCACTGCACCTTTATCTGCCTTCTATTATACCTGTTAATTGCTTCTTCTCCCAATTTGTTTTCCTCGGTAACAATCTATTTACTGCTGCTGTTACAATTCTCTTCTCTCATACTTTTAAGACTTTTGACTCCTTACCCCTCATAAAAGTACTAGAAATAGCCTTCACAGATATTGTGGATATCCACAAATGACTTGATAGTATTTTAGTGAATACTTTTCCAAATCTATAAACATATGTGGCACTTTAATTACCAGTGGCATTTTTTTCATCTCCCTTGCTCATATTCTCTGGTAGGTTTGCTAGTTTTTGTGTCAGTATTTAACTTATTTATTGTATTGTCTTATTTTTTCTTTTTTTTCTTTTTTTTTTCTTGTTAATAAATCTGTTGATTATACTAGAGTAAAATTTTGATGTGGATGGAAAATGGAGCTCCATGCATTGAATGTCTCTTGGTTCTCAAGTTTACTCCAGACCTCAAGTCGAACACACACACATATATATATATATATATATATATATATATATATATATATATACACACACACATAAATGATCCATTGCTAAAAAATTCAGGAAATATTATCAGCTGCTTCTATCATTCCAGAAAGTATCTGAATCCTCTCTACCATTCTTTATTTTTAAAATAATAAGATTAGACTAAAAATAGAGTATTGCAACCATATCTGGAATGACACTGCTCAGGTCTCATTTTCTAACCTTAATAGAATTCAAAAGCATTGTGGGTAATGAATTATTTTCAACCTTCAGACCCTTTTCCCAAAGTTGAAACATTGCAATCCTATTGATACTCTCTCACTATTTTTAGGACAAATGCTCAGATGTGCTTCCATTTTAGACATTTTCATGATCCATCCTGCCCTTGTTCTATTTAAACATGTTATAAAATTCTCCTTTCATCCACCAAAATATCACATGACCACCATAGCATATTTCTCTTAAATATATTTCAAGATGGTCAGCTCATTCTCTCACTCCATGAAGTACCTGACTCCTTCTTCCATGCTTTATCTTTACAAAAGTCAGATTAGACCCAAAATGGACTATTGTTGGCTTATGTTGGCTAGAGCTGCTCAATCATCACTATCCAGCCTTGATAGAGTTCAAAATTGTTTATGTGGTCTTGTGGAGGAAGACTTACTCTCCACTCTGCAACCTCTTTCTCTTAGAGGTGACATAGCAAAAGTAGCTCATTGAAGCAGTTACCATGAAAGTATTTGTAGAAAAGACAATCAATGGGATGTCTATGAGAAAGTGACTGTAGAGAAGATGCCAAATCAGGACCAATAACATTGCATATCTGTCTTTGGATTTTGTCGTGGAACTTGAGATGAACAGCTGAGGCACCAGACCATATATGGTAGCAGTATTCCATGCAAGGGTGAATGGTTGATTTATAGATTTGAAGGAAGGACTCTGGCGAGAAAAACTTTCTGGTACAACACACAGAACCAACTTTCCTTGTGGTAGATGAGGCTATTGATTCAATGTATTGCCACTCTGTTGCTATTTCTATGAGAAATGTTCAGATGAGCTCCATTCTTTCATTCCACCAATTCAGATCTTTAATACTAGGATACACCATGTTACTTCTACAGAGTTGAATCACCCTTATTTCACCTATATTTAAAATGTAAGGCGAAAGCTCCACTCTTAAAAGAACTGCTATTTTGTGGAGCAGAGTTTTCAGAGATTCTTCACTGAACATCGCAATCTTAACCTCTTCAAGTGAAGGTTTAATCATTATCTATCCACCTCATTCCACTTTTTACTACCTACTAGTATTCATATAATACACTTTATTCCATACTCCTTCAACTTGAGTGGCTATTAAAACTTGAAAATTGTCCTTATCCTCACAATCTTCACTTTCTATCTCCTCTTTTGTTAATATAATACACCTCACTCTACATAACCATTTTAATATGAATCCTCTACCTTGAAGCGCTCTCGAGCCTTGTATTAAGTGAAAATTAGTATAAAAAAGTCTTTATTCTTATTGTCAATTTCTACTCCTCAGAAAAAACAGTTAGAATTAAACATGATTTTGTATGCTGTTCATTAGGTCTTCAAGATTTAAATGAATAGAAATGTCATCTAGAAAACAAACCAAATCATGCTATTGATTTATTTATTTCAGGTTATGTTGGCTTCATTTGCCACATACGTGTTGACCACAGGTAAAGTTCTTGATGCTCAGACAGCATTTGTAGCACAGTCTTTGTTTAATATGATGAGAGTTCCTATGAATCTCTTACCCGAGATGTTTATCAACCTTGCAGAGGTAAGTTGAATTCCTGTGAAAATATAAGAACATATTTGATATTAACCATATTTTTGCTTTATTTCAGGAAACAAAAAATTGTTTCAATACTGGGAAAATAATTTTTTTTTTTTTTTACTTTAACAGTATGCAAAAAATCTTTAAATTTTATGATGCTGTTTGCCTCTGATTAAAAGTGTAAAGCCAAATAAAGTAGATTTTAATGGAGTTTAATGTTGCTCTTGTTAGTTTAAGGAAATGAATTTCATTTTATTTTTTTAATAATCCTTATGATTCACTTATCCTGTTTGTGTGCAAAGCTATTATAAATAAAGACAAAAGGAAAACTTTTCTTTACCAATGCATTTCATCCTCTGAGGGACTTTATCCAGGTAAATGTAGAGGTTTTATTTTACAATTTTTATTTATAAACAGAATTAAAGTGGAGAAAAAATATTAAGTTTTAAAATTTTAAATTTAGCAACACTCTAAAATGTTCTTAAAGCCAAATGTGTAAGGAAATGTAAACTATGGAGGATGCTAAGTGATATAATTTACTGCCTAATAAACAAAAAGCTTTTCTACTTAGAATTATATGTATCAGCAATATAATACTGTATTTGCTGTCATATAAAACTCCTTCCCCATTCATATTTATAATGAAATGCTGGTCAGCTATATAAAGATTGGACTACCAAATACCTTAACTTCACAGGTAGGACCTGGGAAATATTTTTTGAATTCTTTTTTTGAGTGGAAGGATGAACGCTGGTCTTGTATGCCATCAAGTATGTTAGTGAGAAGCTGAAAGAATAAAATTTAAATATTAGATAGAGATTCTGAGATTAACACCTTACCATATCTATTTTTGAATTATCACCTTTGCCCCTATTTTTTTTCACCACGATTTTTTTTTTTTAAGTTATTTTTTTTTTAAGTTATTTTTTTTAAAATTCTTTCATGCCAAACAAGGCGATAATGTCATTAGAATTCAGGGGATTACAGGGAATGGAACAAAGACAGACAACACCAGCCAGATTTAAGAACAAACAATAAATTTATTGTTAACATACAAAATAATGAATGAATTCCACAAATTGAGTGCATTGTGTGACAAATGATGGCCAATAACATGTATGTAAAAATAATCAATTACAATAAAATTTATTATGCTGCATAAGGTCCTCAGAAAAGAAAACTACATATAAAATGTAGAAAAGAAGAAAATACTTCTCCGAATAGTTTTCAAAGAATTGCTACAATTTTTGAAGCAAAGTTTGTGGTAATAACAAAGAACAGAACAATCACACCAGCCAAAGAATTTTTCTTGATGTTTGAGTGACTTTGATGTTCCTTCCAATTCTCATCTGGTGGTTGTCAAATTTCTTGTATTGTTTTTCTTTCTGGAGTGGGTACCCTGGGTTCTAGCAGCAGATGTTTGCAATTCTTTTGAATTAAATCCAAGGCCCCATCTTATTACTTTACAGGTAGGCTCAAAATTCGCTTCTCAGAATTTGGAGGGAAACCTTTTGATTGGTTTTGGATGAAAAACGAAGGTAGCTGTTTTCCCATAAATCAAAATGTGCCAAAAATATTTTTGAAATTCAAAAATTAAGCAAGAGCCTAATGCACCAAAATGTACCAAAAATGCACCAAATGTACCAAAAATATTTTTGAAATTCAAAAATTAAGCAAGAGCCTAATGCAGTGTCTGTTTTCTCTCAGAATAGCAGACGATACACACTCAAGCAGCTTAAATTTATTATGTCGGTGAGAAAGTGACTGAAGTTGAGATGATCTTATGTGTATATAATATAAGAATCCTGAAAATGTTCTTTTATGCACTTTTTTTTACATATAAGCATATACACCTTATAAAAAATAAACTCGAGGGGAGGGGGGGCTAGCATCTATGATTTGCCAGGTTGCATCCCTTAAAGCTAGAATATTGTTACAGTCAAAATATTTACATAAATAATGTTTATTTATTGAATTTGCTAATATCTTCACTTACAAGTGGAGAGGAATTTTTCTATAGTATAATATCTATAAAAACTCTACATTTAACTCAGAAATAACTAAAATTGTAACCCATGTTGTTGCCACTGAACTTGATATTGCTGGGAGTAAGAAGTTCAGAAATTCACTCATTCTTGGTTTAAAATGTAACGAAATGCCTAAGTATTTTAATTTCACTCCAAAATAAAAAGTTATTTTATGAGTTTTGATATTCTGAAAAAAATGAAATATAAACAACACTTAGATTTTGGATGTACTGTTGAAAGTTAAACATTAATTATTTAAAAAAAAAATAATTATATTGAGTGAATATTCATAATATGAATGCATATGTGGTGTAATGGTTAGTGGCTTGGAACAAGAAAGTGATGAAGTGAGTTTGAATTCTGGTTGAGTTCATTACATTCACTTTCATGCAGATACCCTTGGGAAAGGTATGAATCTGTCTCTTCTCCCTCCAGTTACAGGTTAAATAGTAGGACAGACTGGGTTCTTCAGCCTTGGTTGGCAATGAGTGTAGAAAAAAAGCTCTGAATTCCCAAGTGCAGATAGATGGAAATCGTTAGTGTGGGAACACCTGGTTGTTCAAGGGAAGAAAAACGATACAAGAAAAAAACAACCCTTACTAAGAGTACAGTGATTGGGTGTGGGGGTCAGTCATCCCGCCCTGTGAAACAGTTCAATTGCAGAAACCTCACCAGAGCTCTTATGTGCTATAAGGCACCAGACAGCATTCATTATTCATAAAAATGTCATTTTAGCGAAAAATAGATATTATTGGAATCTTTTTGCATTTTTCTACTGCTGTTTTTTGTCATTGTTATTTTAATTTATTTATTTTAGTGTTATGTCTCACTTAAACGACTGAAGACTTATTTCAATGCAGAGGAGATCGATCCCAACAATGTTCTCCATGGAACATTTGAAGGTGAGTTTTTTTGTTTAAAATTACAATTGCTAAACTCTTGTTTATGTTCTCTAGATTTTTGAGTACAGCTACAATTATCCAACAGCAAATTCAGATCAAGTGGTCATGCAATACTGAGAATATATATGACAAGGCAAAGTTATAAACTTTAGGAACATTTCTCAGACTGCTTTTAATGATTTATATTTATATCTTATAATTATATTTATATATTAAATTATAATTATATTTATATATTAAATTATAATTATATTTATATATTATATTTATATATTATATTATATTTATATATATATTTAAAACTAGCTTAGTGGGTCATCAAAAACCAATGTCAGTATTTAATTAATTTTGTATGCATTGTATTTGTAAAATACCAAACATTTTATGTTGCTCAGTATTTACATGCTCTATACTTTCTAAATGTTAGAGGCTTATAACTATATAACAGTCACCAAAGTTAAGCAACATTGTGCCTGGTCAGTACCTAGATGGGGGACCACTTGGGAATACCAGGTGCTGTAAGTTTGGATGTGTGATAATGGATTGACATTGGAAATTGGAGAGCCAACTTCCAATTTCAGTTGGGTTCATTATATTCACATATGCACAAATACTCATTTTGGAAAAGGTATGAATCCACCTTTTCTCCCACCAGCTATGGGTTAATTAGTAGGACTTGTATCAGTAAATAATTATTTTCTAAAAAAAATTTGTACAATCCAAAAATATTTTCTGGCTTTAAATAACCTGCAAAAGATTACTAAGCCTTAAAAACAAAATCAATCAATCTAAATATTAAATGAAATAACATTCTATTTAATATTGAATAATTATGATTTTTATATCACTAGAAAAGTAATTTGTCATTAGACTTCTACTGTATATAGGTGGATTTAGTGGAGAAATATTAAAGGTACAAATATAAGTTGGTTGCCAGTGATATGAAATCAATATATGTATTTTTTTTTTAAATCTACATTCCAGGAAATCCAGTTGTTATTGAAAATGGAACATTTTCATGGAAAAAATATGGAGAAAACATTCTTCAAGGGTGAGTTTTTTTTTTTTTGTATATTTTCATACTCTTTGATTACCTCAGATTTTACAAGTACTAGAGGAACTATAGAAATAAAGATATGACTCTCTCCCTCACACTTGGTCACTCTCCCTCTCTCAGAATTGATTACTCTCTCTCTCTTCCTCCCTCACACTTGGTTACTCTCTCTCTCTCACTTATTCTCTCTCTGTTATACTCTCCCACTGTTACCTCTCTTTCTCTCTCTCCCAGTCAATCTTTCTCTCTCTCCCTCTCAGTTAATCTCTATCTCTCCCTCTCACACTCTGTCAATTCCTCTCTTTTGATCAATCACTCTCTGTCACACTCGGTAAATATCTCTCTTTCAGTAAATCTCTCTTAGTCAATCTCTCTCTCTCTCACACATTCGGTCAATCTCTCTCTCTCTCTCACACATTCGGTCAATCTCTCTCTCTCTCTCACACATTCGGTCAATCTCTCTCACATTCGGTCAATCTCTCTCTCTCTCTCTCTCTCTCTCATTTGGTCATTCTTTCTCTCTTTCTCACTCAGTCAATCTCTTTCTCTCTTTTGCTCGGTCAATTGGTGTGAGAGAGAGAGATTGACTATCTCTCTCTTTAGTCAGTCTCTTTCTCTCTCTCTGTCACTCTTTCTCTCTCTCTCTCTGTCAGTCTCTTTCTCTCTCTCTCTCTCTGTCATTCTTGAATTGTTTTAATTTTTTTTAAATACTTATAGTTCTAAAAATACGGTTGTAAATTTTAAAAAAATCTGTAAAATTAAAGAAAAATTCCTGCTGCTACACATGTAAAATTTTTGATATTTTTAATTTTAGCATTTTAAATAATTTTCGGCATATGAAACACTTATTTACTGCACTTTATATTGTTTTAAATTTTTTTTTAATTAACCTGTATTCTGAGGCATTTCTTACAATTGAGAAGTCCTGCATCTGAAATAAAATCCAAAGTTTGTGACAAATAAATTTCAAAATTTGTCCAGCAAAAATATTAAACCTAATTTATTCAGGTTTTGAAATCATTTCATGAGAAATAAAATTAAAAAAAAATACTATTCAAAATATAAAATACAAAATAAACACAGTTTAAATAAATAGTATTGTAAGTAAAAAATGAAATTTCATCTTTTAAGAAAAATGTACAAGTATATTTAATTTCTGTGGAAATATATCAGCCAATAAAGTTCAAAAAAGGAAAAGAAAAAGAAATGTCCTAGTTTGGTCGTTTAGGAATGTCATCCTTTCAGATTTATTCCTTTATGCAGAATGGTTAGTATCACTTTGGTTTCACTGTTTCATGCTATTTTTGTGGTATTACTATAAACAATTTCTGCTTAACAAACACTAAGTCACCTCCAGATGATGACTCAGGGATTATAATGGCTGGCCACTCATATCTGGGTATGCCTTTGCTAGGATGCTAACCAGCCTATGTTGTGGATACCTGCTCAGGCATATTTGTGTTTATGCAACAACTACAGAGCCAACCTGTGGTTTACACTGCAACTATGCTAAGTGGAGCTTAGTTACAAGGCTCTAAATTCTATAGAGAGAATTGTCCTACAGCCTGTTGGATTAAAGTGTTGGTTTGTGAATTTGATGACATTGTAATTGTGAATTCAATGAGCCAGACACAGACAGTGTGTACTTGAATTCAGTGGAAATGGGATCAGCAATAACTGAGCAGTACATAAAAATAAGAACTAGATGAGATATCTCTAGATACGGGCAGTGGAATGAAAACAATCTGTTCCCGTGGATTAAATAAAGGATTCGGTTTGAAATAATCCCAACCATTAACAATACTGCTGAGAAAACCCTTGGAATAAATAGAACACCTTTCCAAAATAGAATTAATATTTATCACTTCTACCGACATATCTGTGCATGTGCAGGTGGGAAGTCTTGACCAGACATGCATATACAGGTGGGAAGTTTTGACCAGGCATGCATGTACAGGTGGGAAGTTTTGACCAGCCATGCATATACAGGTGGGAAGTTTTGACCAGCCATGCATATACAGGTGGGAAGTTTTGACCAGGCATGCATGTACAGGTGGGAAGTTTTGACCAGGCATGCATATACAGGTGGGAATTTTTCACCAGATATGCATATATAGGGAAACCATATTTTAAGCCAAATTGGTAATGCACACATTTGCTTACAAAGTGATTTCCCTGAGGGTAAAAACAAGAATAAAGGGCCAATTCCTGTCAGGAAGTATTTTTTTTTAGTAGAACTATTCATCTCTTGATGGGTTGACAGTAATTTTACTGTTTAAAAACAACAGGGATGTCTACTCAAACTAGTGTAACCCTGAAATATAATGTTTATAGTAATACAAAATGTCAGATTTTTAAAAATCCATTAATTTCTTAGAAAATTGTATCTATCTATAATAAAATATAGTTTTAAGGTATGCTATGTTTATGGGTTAAAGTGCTCAAGGGACAGAGCATCTATGAATATAAATGTGGACATTGAAGTCAACACAAACATTTGTGTGCTGACTTTAATATCTATATATATATATATATATATATATATATATATATATATAGGATAAAGAACAAATAGTAAATGCTTATCAGTCTAACATGTTTCACTTTTATTAAAGCTTCATCAGTGAATGAGTTATGGAAAAAGACTTCTGGTATTTTTATTTGTCTTGCTTGATTTTTTATTGGTTAAGTAGGTTTCATATGCTTTTGACTTGGTAAGCAGTGTTAGTATAATTTATGTCATTCTAAACTCAAGGGGAAATGATATGTCCTTTCAAAATTTTTATTCATTTCACTGTTGAGTAAATAAAAAACAGGGATAGCAACTCAAACATGTGTACCTACTAAAAATGATGTTTATAATAATAAGATATATAATTTTATTTTTATTTTTTTCTTTAGAATTGATATTTCCATCCAAGAGGGTTCTTTGGTGGCAGTTGTTGGCCAAGTGGGAAGTGCCAAATCATCTTTGCTTTCATGCATTTTAGGTGATATGAATAAAAGATCTGGAAATGTTTATGTGAAGGTAGGATATTCAAATTGCATGTCTTATGTTTCATTTCCATTGCTCATGAAAGGTTAAACATTGCGAGTGTTGACTTCATTTTTTTCTCTTCTGATAATGAAAATAATTAACATAATCAGGCTTCCTTATTTTAGTATATTTAGTCACTTTTAAATATTAAATTTTAAATTGTAGAGTTTCTGTATTATGACACTTATGACTGTGAATGTGACTTTCTACAGTTGGCTGTTGTAATAAAAAGGTTATTGCACCTGGAGATATTTAAAAAAAAAAGATGTGTTGTTTTTTTTTTTTTTTTTTTTTTTTTAGAGCAATATATCTGAAAATGTATATATTTTAACATGGTTATATGAAGTTGTTATGGGACCTTACCCATAATAACATAATGGACTATTCCATACGTAATAAATACTGCGCCTCGAAGCAGTGAGTTCAGTCTGGAGTGAAGTCTGCCAGAAGTACGTCAGTCAGAGCGAGCGAGTCAGTCAGTCGAGTCAGAGGCAGTCCGAAACAGTCGCGTTCAGACAATTACTACTAAACCTGATTGTTTGTACTAACATTTTCTACTTCTCTGTATATATTCCTGTTTGTAATATATCTGTGTTATTCTATATCCGTATACGAGTTCTTCTTTATTGGTTCTACCTTGGACTATCACCGTGGTACAAGGAACCGGACCATAACAGAAGTCATTGCTGTAAAATCCTGATAAGTTCATATGAAAATTTAGCTGATAGTATCATATAAAATGTATTCTGTGTGATTTTAAGTGTTGTAGCTTTTATAACATTTGTTGAATATTGGCTGTATTTACATAAAGTAGATGTCTGTTTGCTTCTATGAAGAAATGTTTTTAACAAGATCTATTATCTAAAACCAAGTACAGGTCAACCACACAATTGCCTGACTAATTCATTAGGCAGCATATGATATGAGTTTAAAATAAATTTTTAACAGTCAATGCTGCTGTAGGGGATCAGAGGTGTATTATTGTATTGTTATTATGCAACTTATGTTGGTTTAGCAAAAGAGATAATTTGACACAATTCTTGAACTAAGGGAGACAGAAAACTGGGGATGGGTGTACCTGTATTTGTTAATGTCAGCATCTTAATTCCATTTTCACATTTATGAATGTATTTTATGCTGTCATTTAATTCATATACAATGTACATTTAATAATAGTTTAACATAAATTTTTATTGGTCGATGTAGAGATGTGAGCAGTGCCTAATTAGGGAATCAGAGGATTATGATTATTATGATATGGATTCTGTTGATCCAGTAAAACAGGTAATCCAGTATGGTCTGGAACCAAGCATGCTGGAAAATTGGTGATGTACCTATATTGAATGTAGTTTTTTAGGCAAATTAAAAATAGTTATTGATGTTATAAAACCTTTTAAAAAAAATTGGCTCATTTTAACATGCTGGAATACAGTGTGGCAGAAATACCTCCAACATAATGGTAAGATCTTGTCTAGGTGAAGACACTATTGTCACTAATGTCTTACCATTATGTAGGAGGTATTTCTGCCAAATCTTGTATTAAAGATGTCAACATTATGGGAGAAGTAATATGCTCTAGTAACTTTTTTTTTTTTTTTTTAAATCTGATGAAATTCTCTTGCATTTTTAATTGAAATGTGGTATGATTAAACTATTGGCCTTTCTATTTTAAGGGGAGCATTGCTTATGTACCTCAAGAAGCTTGGATTCAAAATGCTACAATTAAAGACAACATTTTGTTTGGAAGTCCTTATATCAAACAAAAATACAAGAAAGTTCTAGAAGCTTGCCAATTACTACATGACTTGGAAATTTTGCCAGCAGGAGACTTGACAGAAATTGGTGAAAAGGTGAGAATTGATTTGTAAAATATAACTTATTTTCTGCAATATATATATATATATATATATACATACACATATATATATATATATAATGTGTTATTTTTAGTGGCTATTCATATTTGAGCAAATGCTTTGTTCATTTATTAAACTATATTTATTTATTTTCATTTACCAGCCAGAATATTAGGGAAATTTTATTAAAGAAAAATATGTGCTCTCTGGCAGGATTAATAAATAAAAATCTATCACTTCTTTAGAAATTGCTTTATTTATGTTAGGATATGAAACTGAGCAGATATAAATGTTTTGAGAGTCTGAGAAGGATTTGCATTTATAAGGCAGTATTCAACTTTTCTTGACACACTGTGTCGCTGAGATTGCCTAAAGCACATCACATCTAATGACAGTTTTTCCTGTTAAGGAGGACACAGAGAAGGAACTGTTGGCATAGAACTTAATAATATCTAGCTATTTCAACTGTAAAAGGATCTGACCTTACCACCAATCTAGTATACACTTAAATTCATAAAGTCTACTTACCATAGAGGAAAATTAAAAAAAAAACACCGTCTATAGAAAAGGCACAGGGAAGCTGTTATGGTGGTGGGAAAGGGATTGAAGCCAAGATGCCAGGTCAGGATTAATAACATTGTAGATTCTTCTTTGTATTTTATCAAGAATCTCTAAATACTTAACAGAAGCACCAGACCAGATGTAGCAGAACTATTCAATGCATGGACGAATGGTATACTTATAACTTTTCTAGTTGCTGTATCTGACTGGTAGTAAGGAGCCTGAAACTCTTTGGTAGCACTTAGAGAGGCTGCTCTGATCAACAGTTGCATAACACCAGGGTATTTGCAGTGTCAGGATAGCTGTCCCTGCCTGTATTTCTGGTGGGAAACCCTGAGACCACATTATGCTTTAGTCTTAGCCACATTCTGGCCAATTTGCATTGGATAATTTACAATGGATAGTGATAATTATTTGGGACATTTTCTCCTTAAAACATAATCTTGACAGATACTCTTCTATTCAATTTAAATTAATCTATTTAATTTTGATGGTCCAAACAACATAGCATTATCAGTTGACACACTTGGCTGGTTACAATTTCAAGAACCTTATGGTCATTCCATTTTTAATAAAAAGTAAAGTATTCATGAGTTATAGTAATTACTTTTTGGTAGAATCTTTGAAAATGATAACACTTGAGTGTCTTGTCTTTAATTTTTCAGGGTATTAATCTTAGTGGTGGACAGAAACAGAGGATTTCTCTTGCTAGAGCTGTGTATGCTGATGCTGACATCTACCTCTTGGATTCACCACTTAGTGCAGTTGATGCAAATGTTGGCAAAGAAATTTTTGAAAATATTCTTTCCTCCAACGGGATTTTGAAAAGAAAAGTGAGTGACTAATCTATTTCTTATTCATTTTCGTGACCAACAAAAATATTATTGTAAGCTTCATTAGTCATATAGTATGCATCTAGTTTAATGTATCTTTTTCTCTTTCTTTTTTAGGCCTTAATTAAGATATAATGAGTACAATGTGGGATGACTTTTGCAGTTATTCAGTACAAGCAACCGTCAGATGGAATGAATAGATATCTAATTTAATAAGTGTTATTGGTAGAGAAAAGCATTAGATACCTGGGTGCTTGATAGCCTGATATATTGACAAAAATACCATTGGCATATACAATACAAGGGAGTACTGAGAGATTCCCATCCCAAACTAATGACAAAAACATCAGATTTTTTTAAGGGCTTTTTGGTCATATATTGCGTAAGGCTGTTCTTCAAAAGAAGGAATAAACGCGGTGAGTCAACACAACTTGTAAAGATTAAAAAATAAATATATTTTTCAATATGAAACAATTTAGAACAAAAATAAATTGAGGATTGAATTAACAAAATTGTAAACTCAGTTATTACAAGATTGTGTAGGGATGCAAAGAGGGATTAACTCTCTTTGGTTGAGATGAAGCCACAAGGGTCATGTGACAGCCAATGAGTGATGTCAAGTCTTAGATTGATGAACATCAGTTGCTATTTATAATGCTTAGAGGCAAGGCGTGTCTGTCCATGCCAATTGCTATGTAGGCTGTGGAGAACACAAATATCACAAGCTCACAGCAATAGGGCATTTATAGAAAACCACATGGCTTTACTTGAAACATAAAGGACATCACCAACCTGCCTGTTTTCCAGTTGGGAAGCCTTACAAGAAAGACCCTCTCATTTTTCAACCCTTTCACACTGCTTTTTGTATACATATGCTATAATTTTTCTGTGTGGGACAAATTAGTGACAAGTATGTATATATGGTATATAGGGATGAAGGTTGGGCTAATACCTAAGTAAAGGCCAAATTTACTGTATGTAGCACCATTTTATTGTTGACTCCATTTGGTTACTGTGGTTAAAGTGGGCGACAATCTTTTAGTCCTTTTGTGATTTGAGAGTTCATACAGGATCGTTGTGTTTTTGGATGACAGAAATTGTTGAATTCATCCTTTCTTCTTTTTCTTCTGAAGTTTCACATCTGATGAATCTCCAACCTTTGCGTCTTGAACTGCTACATTGAACCAATTTCCCACTTTTTCTGTCTGCACACGTGGTTTTTTTCCTTCTTTTTATTGGGCCTGACACATCCGTGTTTTCCATTTGATTTTAGGTGGGACGTGTTGTCATTGGTTGATTTTTTTATTTAAAAAAAATTTTTTTTTTATGATGTTTATTGATGCACATAAGCTATATCCGGGTTCTGTCAGTCACCGGGGATAGGAACAATAGAAGGAAGGAAAGGAAGTATGTGTAATATAGAAGAGAGAGAGAGTTTGTCATTCTCTTAGTGAAAAGGAAAGTGTATATTTCCATATGGTGTGACTACTACCTAATCCTACTACATATATTTTGGTATAAAAATCTCTTTGAGAACAATGTATGCTTATCATTCTTTTCTTTCAGCTATTCTGTTCTGTCTGTGTGTTACTATATCATGGATATAATAATGCTCATAATGGGGAATGTAAACTGGTAATATTCTTTCTTTGTAGTCAAGTCGTAGTCAAATGCTAATAACATTTATTGCATTAGTAATAAATGTTATTGGCATATGACTTCATATTTTGTCTGAATTTCTGTGATGAGGAGATAATTAATTACACTCAAAGTATTGTCCTCATCTTTGTTGTTATCACATCGTTTCAGCCATTGTGTCTTCTCGCCTTTATTAAGTGCTTGTCAATCCTGATAATCCTCAGGAAATTTCCTTATTTAATCTACAGGAGTAGACTGTTCTCATTCCACTGTCTATATCTAGGGATAACTAATAAGAACAAGATGAGATATCTCTAGGCATGAACAGCAGAATGAGAACATTCTGTACCCTGTAGGTTAAATAAAGATTTCAGTTCGATATTCCTTGAAAACACCTGATGAAGGCTGTAGAGTACAATGGCTGAAATGTGATAACAAATATGAGGACAAAAGTCCTAGTGTAAATAATGTAAATAACATTGTTTTTATTTGTTCTGTGATGTTGGATGGCTTTGCTTGTCACTTTTGCTATGTCAAGTGAAAGCTTGGGATCATTTCCAAAAATGCTTGTTATATTTGAGACTTCATAAACATTGGTACTAGTAGTAACGCCTTCCAATAATATCCACACTAGTAATACTCGTTCAAGTAGTAATCACCAAATAGTATAATGATCAGAAGAGAATTGTAATCTGTATAGTAGTAAAGTAGAGAGAGCAAGTGTATAGCAATTGTGGATAGACAAGAAGAGTGAACAGTGATCGTATAGTCCTCACGCTATTTCCTATTTAACATGATCTACTTAATGGAATTGCCCGTGTTACTCACTGGTGATCTAGTTTCAAACCACAGTGTTGGCAATGACACTTACTCTTATACAACTGTTTGATAATTAAATTCTCTTAACATTTTCTTTTTTTAATTTTTTTTTTCAGGATTATATCCTTCATATTCTCTTGATTTATATCTTTAATCATCCATCTTTAAATTAAATTTTATTTTAAAAAATTACATGATGTAAACTTTTTTCATATTCCCTGAAAATAGTTCATTATGGGATACACATGTAATGTTAACATGAAGTAAAGAAACTCAAAACTAATCTTGTGGTCATCAAACTGTTGTTACTAGGTTAGAGGTTGTGTGTTGCAGAAAAACGTATTGAAAAAATAGACAAACAAAAGAGTGAGACAAAACAAGATAGAAATATTTATTCTATCAGGAACACCTTTTGTGTAGAGAGAATTTCAAGGAAATATTTTTCAGAGTCTGTAAATAATGAAGGAAAAGTTGAACTTATACTGCTGGTGAATCAGAAAGCATGTGAGGTGTACTGCCAACAACACTGCTTCTGTTGCACAGAGCGTTCTGTCATGATGTTGGCTCTGTGTATTTTTCTGTTTGCATATACCTAAAAGCTGATATATGGTTACTTTCACTGATAGGGTTTTTCACACATGCATGTCTGGCAAAAGGGTTTTAATGTCTGCTACACACACACTCACATATTTCTTTTAATATTTCATTTCAGACCAGAATTTGGGTAACAAATGCAATACAATGGCTTCCACGTGTTGATAGTGTGATTGTGTTGAGTGGAGGCTATATAACTGATGTTGATTCTTATGAAAAACTGATCAACAAAGAAGGAAAATTTTCAGAGTTTCTAAATACATACAAATTTCATCAGTCAGAGAGTAGCAATGAAGAACAAGTAGTTGGTAAGATTGTCTCTGTATTTATATTTTTTGTTTCAGTCATTTGATATTGATAACAAAAACATGAGAATATAGCTGCCATAATTATTATATTAATAATAATTATGGCTGCTATATTCTATTATATATATAAATATGTATATATAATAATTACTTTATATATTTTTAAATGTTTATTTCATTGATCTTTTGATTAAATTAACTGTGTAGGAATTTTGAAGTAGCCTAGATAACAAGTTTGCTTTCAAAAGAGCTAACTATATTATTCCATACCAAGGGAGCTAACTATATTATTCCATACCAAGGGAGCTAACTATATTGTCCAACACTTATAACCACTTTGCTAACAAAGTTGCTTACAACCAGAGTTATTAAAGTACTACTGCTGTTATATTAACTAGTTTTATACCATTTGAGAACAAGAGATGACTTGACATCACTTTTTTTTATTTGTTAAATAATAGTTTTGCAGGTTGTTATTTTTAGGGGAAGTGTATCTTTGCACTGACTTGTGGAAATTGACAGCTGGGGTTAGATGTGCGCCATAATAGGGAAGTCAATTTTGATTGGCTGAGTTAGCGTGGGAAAGAGGTAGAAGAAAGTTTTTAGGGAATTACTTCTTACCTGTCAAGCGATGTAGGTGTGTTCTCTTTCATGTCCAAAACGGCTCCCCAGTGATTGTGGTGTGATGTTAAGAATAATCCCTGGGGACACAAATAAGATTTTTTTTTTTTTACTTCATGAAAAAAAAAATCGTTTTATTTTATTCTCACAGCTCAAATTCCAACTGATAAACTGGGTAGACAGATATCAATTCTGTCTGATATTTCAGAATCTTCAATTTTATCACATAGGTAAGTACAAAACATTTTATTCTGCCTACTCATGTATTTTCCACAAGTAAATGAGTAGTCACATGCATATACAATATATTTAAAAAAGAAAGCAATTTACTAAGATGACAATGTATTGAAAGTTCTTTAATCATTAGATCTTCCCTAATAAATTTACATCCAGGTTTTTCAACATTTAACCTTTCTTGGCAGATCAATGTGGGATATTTAATAACAAGTGATAAAAGCATAAACAAAAAGAAACTAAATAAAATTGGCTAGGCTATATAACAAAAATGTGTATGTAAAACAAAAAAAAATTAAATTAAAAATTTTCAGCATTCCCTCTCCTTTGTGCACATATCTAGTCACAACAATGTAAACATCACTTTAATCTGATGGAGTCATAAAGGACAAAATGTGTCATGTGAATACTTTTCAACTTTTTCATAGTTTTTCCTAAAAAACAAAATGCAGAAAATTTATATAATCAAGATGAGCACAGTCAAATTATACTGAAAACACAAGTTCCCGTTTGATCACCAAAGTTAAGCTACATCTAGCCCCGTCAGCATGGGGGACCACTTGTGAAGATTGGATATTGTAAGCAACCTCCTACAATCAAAAATGTTTCAGCTTCAAATAACCTACAAGAGGTTGATAAGCCGTAAAAATCAAATCATACAATCAAGATGAGAAGCCACTTTCTTGGTGACAATCACATTGTTTAGATTCTAGCCCATTATTGTAGTGTTGGATCACAACATAAATGCTGAGTGGTCTTGTCAATATCTGTCCATCAAAGCAGATACCTACACAATCATTTATGATTAGGAAAAATAAAAATGGCTAGTTTTCTTTCCTAAAAACAAAAATAGGCTGACCAAATATAAAAATGTTACATGCCTTCTTGAAAAAGAAACTCACAAGTCAGGAGATTATTTTCCATCCTAGCATCTATTTAAATTGAATTTGTGAGCTGTCTACTCAAGTTAACTTTTATAGCATGCACACACACATTTCTCTTCTGGTAGGTTTAAGCTCAGTTTCTATGGTAAATTCATTTATTTTTATCATGAATTTTTGGTTTTGTTTGTTCCATAGGCATTCATATATCTATGCATGGTTGTTGTATTATTGAAAGTCAATTGTCTATTGTGGGCAAAAAATCACAAAAATGAATTAATACTTTTGAAGCACACTTTCTTTACATGGAAGCTACCATTTTGCTTAAGCTGATTTAATAGCATATACCCCTCGATGGCCAACTGGTATTATTAGATTCAGTTGTAAACTAATACATGTGTTTAACCAGCCTCTCTATCTGTAACAATTGTTTAATAGTTCTGATATTCAAATTTTCATCCTGGTTGATTTTGAAGTTTGTTTACTTCTTATCTTCAAACTCTTGAAATAGACAACTGAACACTTCATGGCATATTTGTGACTAATAATATTTTCATGCATATTCTGATTGAAAGACTTTTTCCCTTTTTGTTTTTTTTTTGTTTTAAGCATTTTTCCAAATTTTCTATAAAAAAAGAAAACAAGAAATAAAATTATCCTTATAATATACTAAATAATATATTTATTTAAAATAAAACAAATTTTTATTTTTTATTCTAATTAATTTATTTTCAGCAATTTTAAAAATTTACCCTTTGTTTTTTTTATTGTAGATATTAATTCATGAAAATATATAATAAAAAAATAATGCTGTTAGTTTCGTGGGTTGACTAAAGAATTACGTTATTTTTTCCTTAATCTTATTATTGTAAAACTTATTTCATAATATCATTTTATTTGTAGAAGTTCAAAAAATGCTGACTTTATCGGGCGATATCTTACTGAAGAAGAATACAAAGCAGAAGGCTCTGTAAGTTTGTTTTGAAATGTCTTTAAAGAAAAGGGTGTAAAGGTTGAAAAAACAGGGGTTCTTCTCAAATCTGAAAAAGATGCTGTGTAAGCAAAAGAAAAAATATGTTGCAGGTTTGTGCATCACAAAACATTTAACTTCTATATTTAAATTTTTTTTTTTTAAACTGATTTGAGGATTTTCAAAATATTTAAAACTTTAAATAACTTATTTGAAGATGTTGAATTAAATACTTCACAATAATCTTTGAAAAAAAAAACTTTTTTAAACTTTAAATAGCTTGTTATATTATTTGAACATAGCAGAAGTGCATTGTGATGCAGGAGGGACTAATGTTGAAAAGTGACATATGCATTTGTTCTTCATCAGTGAAAATAAAGGTGTTGAATGGAAATTGCCTTTACTTTTTGATTTACCCTCATATATAAAAACCAAGACTTCATATAAAACAAACAAGAGGATTTAAGCTCATGTTTAAAAAAAAAAAAAATTGGTAAACATAGACCTTTGAGCCTGCAAAAAAAGATGTTTCAAAAGAAGAGTTTTTCCAGTGACATTGATATTATTTTAACTACATTTACTCCTTTTGTAATGTTTATTTACAAGATTATAAAAATGATTTACCTTTTATAAAGATTTATTATTTGTCATTTTATAGAGAAATAGATATGAAAAGATGTCTTTTTATTTAAAAATGTTTTGAAAATTATAAAATTATCAAAATATATAAACTGTATACATTGTACAATGTAATATTTATTATTTATCATTTTATAAATATGAAAACAAATTTTTCATTCCTAATTTTATATCAACGAATTATAAAACAAATTTTGAATAAATTTATGATTTTCTGGACATAATACATTTTGTTCTCAGATTATTTTATGTCTCAGATTACTTCTTGTTTTAATTATCAAATTTTTTTTTTTTTTTTTAATTATGATCTTGAAATCCAAGGCTAGAAACTCCAGTTAAACCCTTTCTTACTTATGTTTGAGAAACAATTTAAAAAAAAAAAAAAAAATGTTGACAGATTATCTATAGGCAGAACAAAGAAAATGTATAAATTCTGTTTCATATGTCTGGATTTTATTAAAATTCTAATCCTTGCTTTTTAAAACAAAAACAAACATCGCTGAGGGTGTTGGCAATTAGTCAATGTTTTGAAACTTCTTGCATTGTAGATGGTTTACATATTTTGATAATTTTGTAATTTAAAAAAAAAATTTTTGAATAAAAAGATTTATTTTTACATTTAAAAGGGTAAATAATAAATATTTATAAAAAGTAAATATTTTTTTATAATCGTGTAAATAAACATTGTTGAAGGAGTGAATGTAGTTAAAATAATGGCAGTGTCAATGGAAAAAAACATCCTTTTGAAACACTTTTTTTTTTTTGTGGCCATGAAGGTCCATGTTTGCCAAAAATTTTAGATGTTAGGAAATAACTTTATAATTATTTGTGTTTTGTTAAAATTTAATAAAATATAATATAATGTAATAAAATATCCACCATTTGAAAGCACAGTAGCTGAAAAAAACCCAAAAAACTCTTTGAATGTTTGTATTGATACACATTGAAATTGTATACAAATTCTGATATTTCATTTTTTGTTTTTCCTTTCAGGTGAAAATGAAAATCTATTTCTCCTATTTAAGTGCAATGGGACTTGGTTTTACAGCAGTAATGCTTATTGGTGAAACACTATTCCAAGCCAGTGACATTGGTTCATCTTTGTTGCTTACTAAATGGACAGATGATCCTTTTCTGAGTAACAGTTCCAACTTAAATTCTTCTGAGTATTCTCACTTGACTAATGAATATCTTTCTGGATATTCATTATTTGGCCTCAGTCAAGGTAAGACCAAACTTGATCTGGAAATAACTAAAAGTCTAATACTGTAGAGAACAGGAAATGTCTTAAACCCACTTTTTTAATGAGAAAGAAAAAATTGGGATTTGTATCTCTTGTGTCGGAGTTAACTCCTCCTTAAGTCTGTTAACCCTTTCACTAGGGGTCTCTCTTCCCTGGCTATAAATAGCCGCTGACTCTTCGCCTCTATCTCTCTTTTTCCTTCAGGATTTCAGCTATCAACCTCGAAATGTAGGCGCTAACAAGGGACAGCGTGGAAACACGCTAAGCATAATATACACACACACACGCACATACAGAATATTCACACACGCACGCACATACAGAATATTCACACACACTTCATCCATGTATTGTAACTTGTTATTAATATATATTTGTATATACATATATTATCGGTCTTGTGTTTTGTTTGCTTTCTTTGCCTTCTTCTTTGGACTTAATCAAAGTCCAACCTTTTTATGTAGTTGGAGTATCTGAACCTTACATGCGTTTCTTCTACGTCTGACTTCTATCAACAACATAACCGCCATGAACCCTCTACACTTGTTAGAAAGATGAATTAGTATTAGTAATTTAGAATTAGTAATGAATAATTAGTAAGGATATTAAATTTGACACTGGTTAGATATTCTTTTACTATATGCCATGTCCATTTATGACATAGGTGATCATGGTTCTCCACAATTTCTTGTCTTTTGTAGCTCTCAGTAAAATCTGCCTTTTTGCTATTTCTCCTAATCTTTGTTCTGCTAACCATTTACACAAACTTGTTAGGTAGACTACACATTGCTGTTCTGTCCCTCTTGCTTTCAATATGACCTGTGAGTATCAAATTTTCTAATCCCTCTTTCCTCATTATGTGCTCTAGAAATTTCAACTGTCTCTTTCTGAGCTAAGCATGTGTTCATTGTGTTTCCATTTTCTCTAACGCATCACAACTTTTTAACTAGGGGTCGCCAAAATTTTTGAACCATTGAAACCCTTTTTTATCATTCATTATTACTTTATTGATTTTATTTTCTCCACAAATGTAAATATATTTTCCCAGAACTGAACTCTGACGATTCATTATCATGAATTTGTGATTTTGTTAGAATATGCTTTTGTCTTTGCTTAAAGTGTTTAACTGGGTTACTTTGTAGTCTTCATTAAGTGTATACTTCATCAAAGAACTTTTGAAGGAATATCTTTGTTATGTTTAATTTCCAAGCTGAAGCATAATTAGTTTTTGACTGGCATTTCTTTTGTGTTATTTCTGTGGCTTTACACCTAGTGAGGGATGGATTAACTATTAAGCAAAATAAGCACGTGCTTAGGGCATCAAGGGAAAGCGGCACCAAGGATATTATGTTTTTGTATACATCTAAAGAAATAAGTCCAACACGATTAATGTTTGAATCAACAGGGTGCTATTATGAAGGGAGGACAACTGACCTGCATTGAATCTTTTATTGATTGTATTTACTCAATACAGCACATCTCCTCTCTTGAATAAGTTAGTATTACTAATTAACTTAATGGGATTTAATTTTGTGAACAGAGGTAGACTACCTTCATGTCTGTTTGACATTATTCTAGCCATATTTTTATGCGATTCTGTAACATGATCGCTTGTTGATGACATGACCACTTCTGGTCACAGTTCTGTTAGAATCTGGTCATGGCTTATTTGACAGTGGTTGCACAGTTGTAATTGTTTCTTTCTGGGTTGGAACTGATGGCCAGCCTCTCTTGATGGTCGTATGTGCCTTTGGTTCATTCTATATTTATTTCCAGCTAGCGTTTCCATGATGCACATTCTCGGTTGATAGCCTTTATTTATTTGCACTACTTATCAAGACTCCATGCTAGCATACTTAACTCGCAGGTGTACGGGGGCCCCAAAATCTTTTAAGTGCTTAGGGCCCCTATGAGTCTTAATCTGACCCTGCACCCAGTAAATGTTACAGTTACCTTACAGTTAAGAAGAAAAAAGTGGAAGTGACAAAACAAAAAACAGAAATAAACTGTGATTGAGATAAATAAGAGTGTTTTTTAAAAATTTCCCAGTGAATTATAAAGTTCAGTTGTTTGCTTGTTTCGTGGTATTGTATATCAGTCATGGGAAAATGAGGGTTTGTTTGGGGTATAACACAAGGTAGTTGTTAAGATACACATAGAGAAAATCAACATTTATATGTAGTCAATTGAGGCTGATGAGAGAAATATACCACAAATTATAGGAAGAGAAACTTTGTATCAGTTGATGTAGTGCATTTCATCGAGGTAGAGATTTGATCAAGGCAACATGATTAGCTGAAAAGATACATAACAGTAAATAAAAATTCACCTCTGTTTTCACTATAGACCCAACCTTTTCCCCTTCATAGCTTTCTTCTTTTTAGCAGATATGGTCTTCATTGTGTCTCTGCTTTAAATAATGAAATCGATTTCATTGTCTTCTGCTTATCATTATAAAACTGTTTCTATCATTTATATTTGCTTTTCAGCTGTCTTCATTCTGTTGTTTACTTTCACCGGAGCATTTGCTTATGTTCGGGCTGCATTTCGTTTGCATAACAACATGCTGTACAGTGTCCTACGAACTCCACTTTCATTCTTTGACACAACTCCAATGGGTCGGATCACAAATCGGTTCTCTCAGGATATTGACATCATTGATAATGCCCTCCGAAATGAGATGAATACGCTATTCCATACAGTGTCTAGAATTCTTGGTTCTGTTATTATCATTGCATACAGCATACCAGTGTTTACCGGATTTGTCATCCCGCTGGTGGTATGCTATATTGCTTTATTGGTAAGTATTCAGTTTTGTCTTCAACATTATAAGGGAATAAAATTTTTGTTTCTTTGTGTGTTAATATCTGTTCATTTTTATTTTTATTTATTTATTTATTTTTGTCATTTTTACCATCAGTAATTTTAAATCAATATTTTTTTCTCTTAGAGTTGTTTTAAGTCTAATGAACTTGTTTTTGTTGTTATCACAGCACTAAGCTTGGATACTACACTTTGATCCTGTATTTACTTATCTTTACATGGTGGTGGGATGGGTCATAAGGTTATTTTTTTAAACTGAAGAGAGGAGGGGGGATTTAACACAATTGTACAGAGCCACGAATAATCACAAGAACTAAACCCATGAGAGGTTATGTGACACTATAAAGTTATAGCAAAGAAAACGATGACTTACCACGTCAAACCAAGCGACAACGAGTCGCGTGTATCCTACGATGGAAAAGAAAATTACTTACCAAAAAAAAAGGACACGTATTCCGCATGACATGCTGAAGACGGAAAAACAAGTATGTTGCAGGAGTCTCTATAAAAGTACTTTGATATGCAATTTACTTGGCGTCCTCTTCCAGCTGTTGATGAATGGAAGAAATGCTCGGCCGATAAAAGCAGTTGGTGTTACTGAATCGGGGAAAAAAGAATTGGTGTATTTTGGCTACTGCCTTTGTCGGAGAGTGAGTTATTTTTCTGACTGTTTATGTGCATGGTGATTTGTGGGATAGTACCTGTGAATCGAGTTTTCGGCATTTCTTTTTGCCCCAATATTCGAGTCTGAACTTATAGTGATTTGTTCTCTGCATTGTGGAATTAATCTGCAACAAACATTTCCTTTGCTTTCAGAATGCTTACAAAAGTGTCAGTGGTTTTAGTTGAGAGGGTTAATGAAACATTATTGTTAGTATGAAAAGGATTAAAAGGGTTTATGTGAAAACCCCATCTAGGATTTGGAGGATTGAAAGGGCTAAAAACATTAGGGTGAAAATATGAATTGAAATATGGTGCAAGGAAGAAAAGAGAGGTTTTTTTTTTCTTTCTGATAACCAGAAATGTAGAATGGAATGTTGAGTCCAAAATATAATTTGAGAAATGTAAAATGTAAACTGCTTGTCAGCTGAAAAGTAAACAGTATTGTTATAAATCGGAAGCTGATAATGTAAATCTGAAATAAGGTTTTGTAAACATGCAAAGTGGACAAAGATTTTTAATCAATCATATTGAAAAGTTGACAAAGAAAATTCTTTGATGTCAAGGGAATGAATTTAAAACACAAAGTTTGTTGTTGAAGAATGTATTGTTTTGAATAAATAACCGACTGCAAACTGCTTTATTTGAAGATCAGTATTGGTTCTCTAAAATTAGAAAAATAATGAATCTTGAGGTGCTGTAAGAGTCGGACAAAATATAAATAAACTGGTACTTAAGCCACCCAAAGACCAAAAGCAAGCAGAAGTTACTAGAAGCCAAAAGAAACCCTGTGACCCGATGTCAAGAAAATTCCTGACCTGTTTTTTTCTGAACCCATTTGAAGAAAAAGTGTCACAATAGAGATTTTAACAGAAAGGGTTAATTTTGTTGTATCAAAAACTATATAAAGCAAAATTGAAAATTAACCTTGTGACCTTCTTCGTTATTTTGTTGTCTCATTTTTATTTTTGCCAGTGGAAACTTTCTTTGTCCTTTTGTGGCACAGCTTTGTCATGGTTCAACCCAACATTTGAGTACAGATAAAATTCAATCCTCACTACTATGTGATCAAGGGATACAATGTGGGGCAGAAGCAGATGAAGGAACAAAGCAGCAAGCAGATAACCATCAGTTGACCAGTGGTAGTACTGACCAGCATGGGAAGGACACAAGATTGATCTGTGTTATAGTTATACAGTATCTCACTCTATCAGCAAACAGTGACCTTAGCTTCATTGTGAACATGCTTATAATTATTATGAGCACACACAAAAAGGTGTTTGTGATTTGAGCTATCTTGTTGGTATAGTCGGAAGTAATGATTCCTGTGGGCTGAACAGGCAAGACTGAACCAAGGATTTCTGAGATGGCATAAAAGCATCAATGCCAGTTTTCACCCAAGAAGAAACCTCGGTGATACAATTTTCACTGCGAAGATTAGTGATAATTAGTATTTGTTAAATATAAATTCTATAAACCGGAAGTGACTTGGAATTGAGTAGAGTTTGCCAAAAGCAGCACTTAAGTAAATAGTTGTAAAATAAAATTGTTGTTCTGTTATTTAACATGGTCACTTATTTAGTTGTTTATTTGTATTTGGGGAAATTAGTTTTGTAATAAATCTATGCTGTCAAATCTATGCTGTCAAAGAATTTTGAATGAATTTATATATCTGTATTAGTTCTGCTAATTTGAGTTTTTACACATGTAAAATGAAGTTCTTTTTATTGTGTATTGATATTAACTTGTTTTTTTATTCTTTGTTTTTCTATTGGCAGTATTTCTACATTCCAACAGCCAGAGAACTTGAGCGGACAAATTCAGTGACAAGGTCTCCTATCTTCAATCATTTCAGTGAGACGTTATCAGGCACAGCCTCCATTCGGGCTTATGGGGCCACTGAACGCTTTATTCAACAGTCTCAGAAACGAGTTAATGATAACATAAAGCCATTTTACTGTTTGGTGTTGGCTAACGAGTAAGCCATATATTGTTTTTTAATCTTTTCTTTGAATCCTTTGAAATTTTCTTCTAATTTAAAAAATAAATCTTAAGTTTCCATGTGCACACATGAGTGGCTGCTTAAGTTATTACAACCCATTTTTGACCAGATGACTAAACATTAGAATTTTTTTATTAATCTATTCTTGGTCAGGCAAAGAATTTTTCAGCACACCCTCATGTATATACATTTATTATACTTAGATTTGTACACCACAATAGTACAAATCTCTGTAAGGGTAAATGTTAATGAGTGTAATAGTCTTTAAATTTTACTATTATTCTACTAGTTAAGTAGTAATCAGAGACTGGTTTTCCAAAGTGCTCACTCAAGCATTCTTCTCTTTCATCCATTGTACATACCAGGAAGAAGGCATTTTTTTCTCTTTTTGTAAGGTATCTAGTAATAAAGAACAAGCATGTGGGTTTCTCAAAGTGAACAAAGCAGCATCAGCTGAGATTTGAGGTTTGCTAATAACCTTTTTTCATGCTAATAACCATTCTAACTCACATTTCCAACTATTAACAAGACTGTGATATCAAAAATACATCATGGAATAAGTTGGAAGAAAGAAAAATTTCAGGAAGAAAGAAAGATTTCAATATTGTCTGATTTTTCCAATATTTGGCAGTTACATAGTCTGAAGCATTTTGGATGTTTGTATCTTGTCTGAAGCTGCCTTTTCATTTCAAATTCTTTCAGTTTAACATATATATATATATATATATATATATATATATATATATTTATTGTTTAATATATATATTACATATTGTTTAATATATATATATATATATATATATATATATTATTTTATATATATATTGTTTAATATATATATATATATATATATATATATGTATATATATATATATATATATATATTATTTAATATATATATATATATATATATATATATTTTTAATATATATGTATATATATATATTATTTAATATATATATATATATATATATATATGTATTTATATATGTATATATATATATATATATATATATATATATATATATATATTTTTAATATATATGTATATATATATATATTATTTTTAATATATATATATATATATATATATGTGTTTAATATATATATATATATATATATATATATATATATTATTTAATTATATATATATATATATATATATATGTTTAATATATATGTATATATATATATATATATATATATTTAATATATATGTATATATATATATATATATATATATATATATATATATATATATATATTTATATTGTTTATATATATGTATATATATCTATATATTGTTTAATATATATATATGTATTAACATATTATATATATGTTATGTATTCTTCACAAGTTGAAAGTTTATGGTATTTCTGGACAAATTTTTGAAATGATTTAGTCTTTCTTACCAAATTACAAAATGAAAGTTATCTTGAATGGCCACTCTTCTAGATCTTTGCATTAATGAAGGTGTTCTCCAGGGCTCTATCTTTGAACCTACATTGCTTTTTAATTTTCATACATGACCTTCCTGATGTCATCAGTTCTCTACTCAATATCTATGCTGAGGATACAACTATTTACTCCTGTCTTAATAGTATGATTGGTTTGAAAAGGTCAAATTGACAGCTAATCTAAAAAAAATAAAATAAAAATGACCTATCTGTTGTTAAATGGGGAAGGAGTAAGCTGTTAATTTTAACACCTCAAAAACGAAACTAATTCCTTGTAATCAATTGAAAAAACCCCTTTTAACCTTCCATCAGCATGGCTGATGCTAACCTCCTGGAGAGTGACTCATTGCACCTTCTTGGATTAATGTTTTCAGCTGACACTGGAATATTCTGGGGATTTTCTAAAGTTTTGGAAGATATAAGTGTATTTTTTTTTTTATTTCTTGTTTAAATTACTAATTTTGTATACACACATACACACATGTTTACCATTTTTAGTTTGAATTCAAACTCTTCTGAGTCCCGCCCTAAGTTATGGGTATGAATTCATATTTTTAAACCAGACTTTTTTTTATCGGGCACCAATCTGAATAATCACTCTCCCATATTTTATTTCTAATACATTTACTCCTTCACTCAGGATTATCAAGTCTCTCAATAGCTCACTAACCACTTTCCATGCACCAGATAACTCCTCTAAACTTTCTACTCTTTAAACACAATGTGAATATTAAATAAAGTTTTCACTCCAGTTTTTTCTTTTAATCTCTAGATGGCTAGCTTTACGTATACAGCTACTCAGTTCTGTCATGGTGTTTTCTGCCTGTGCTGCTGGAATTATGTCCCGTGGAAGTTTAAATGGATCTCTTCTTGGCATGTCTATCAATTATGCTTTTGAAGTAAGAAAATTTTCATCTATTTTTAACTGGTTGTTGCTTTATCTGTTTCTTAACATTTTAGAGATCCTAATACTTGTTATGAACATTTTCAGAATGTCGCTTGCTCATTGAACTTTTAGAATGTTGAGTGGGGTGAAGATTTGACCTTCTAAAAAATATTCAATTCATCCACAAAGGAAAAGAAAAGAAAAAAATAAAACACATAAAGTGTAAATCCAAAATTTTTATATTATAGAAATTATTGAATTTTTTTTTTGTTTTTTTTATTGTTTCATTTTTTTTTTTCAGTCCAGTTTCATTTTATGAAAACAGTTTTCATATGAGAGGAATTAAAAATAAAAACACAGCAACTTGTTTGCAAGTCTATTTTTGCCGTGTGGTTATACTGCCCCATTTATTGATTGTAATTCAATCTTAAATTAGTCTGTTAACCTTTAGCATTCTGCATTATTAATATTACTTCTCTTTCCACTGTTTTCTTTTTCAAGGCATCTCAATTACAGTATCCTCATTGCTAATTTCACTGAGTTGATTTCTGTTGCCATAGTATGATATTGTTATGTGTGTTCTATAGCGCATATATTTTTTTGTATTATTAATGATTCAAGAAAACAACAAAACTCCAAATGTGAATCAACAAGTATATATTGAAATAACATACAAGAACAAAATATACAATAATTTGTATTCAATGTATAGATTAAGGGAAAAGAAATTGCTTCCCTTTCACAGTATTTTGATTTGTAATTGATTGTTCGAAAGAAAGTTCTCGTGAGAGAAAAATGTGTTCAGGAATCAATATTAGAACAAAGGACTGTTTGCTAAAATAGATAACACAAGGATACAATTGATCAGAAAGTGTGTTGTGTTAGAGAAATCAACAGTCCTGGTTGATTGAACTGAGTCACAGAGAGATATGTATGTATTAGAAAATTTTGTGTCTGTATGTGCATTTGAAATGTTGTGAGTAAACTCATAGGTTTGTGTTAACAGGCAAAATTTGCTGGACTCTACTGGCAGCTTGTGAAAAAGTCGCCTCTTTTAAAGCTACAGATAGGCTCCCAGTGAAACCGTGGAGAAAAGTTGATTTTGCACTAAAATATGTGATTGGTTAAAAATTGACCAATCGCTAAAATTGTACTAACGAAACAAGTAAGCAAGTTCAAAACTGAAAAATTCAAAGCAATGAATGTGATGGATAAATTGTCCTATAGAAAGGCAGTATTGATTTATTAGCCAATCGCAGATGAATAAAATGTAGGCATGGAAAAACATATCAGTCACTTCAATATGACAACACAAGTATGAAATTCAAAGACACTATTGTTCAGTTACCTTCAGTGGCAGGATAAATTTTTCGTACAACAAATGATGTCACATACAGAGTGATAAAGGTTAAAAACTGACATATATTAAACATTTCTAAAGCATAAAACCCTAACCCTAATACACGTGTTTAACAAAATTTTTTAAAAATTTCCAGTCTTATAATTAATGAAAATTTTATTATCAAAGAAGATGAAAGAATTATGTGAAATAATTAGGTATTCCAAAAGTTGTTAGAATTATTTCTTATTTTAATTTTTTTTCTTACCCACAATATTTCCACTGATTCATTCTTTGGCCTTCATCAGGTATTGAACCTTATCTGAAGTTGAGAGAAAGGCTGGGTTGAGGGTCTTTCTATTTCTCTTTTCATTTTCAGGGGTTAAAAATGACTTTGAATGAACAAAGTCTGAGGGTCTTGGCAAAAACTGCCCTTCTCTGCGGACTGGCACTACAGAATCTCAAACAAAGAACTGTACAGATAATAGAAACCATATCACTTGGGGACTTTCAACAGCAGCAGTTACTTAAATATACTTATCACTTATAACTTGAACAGAAAATAATGACATAATCAAGATGCTGATGTTCCACACTAATTCAAACAAAAGGTTAGGAAGGAAACCTCCATCAATACTGGAAAGAGAAGTAACAGTTACTGGACTTGAGAAAACTATTTTCCTGAAAAATTGTTTTAAGAGAAAGATTTTATAAATTCCACTGACAGTAGTACTGGCTGCTCATTGAATGCTGAATGTTTCCTTATAAGGAAACAGCTAATATTACCATTACCACATTTATTACTTAGAATGAATTGATTGAAGTGATGAAAGAAGAGTATTAGTCCAAACAATTCTTGGGATGATAATGGCTCATTTCAAAATGACAGGATATAAAGAATATTTGTTCTACTTCTGTGTGTTTTTTTTATGATTTATCTATGTCACTTTATGGAATTATTTTTATTTTTAATCTTTTTAACTGTTCATGTGACTAAGCTAAAAGAAATAAATTACTCCTTAAAACTGTTAGTGTTGAATGAAATCAAAACTGTTTTTGTCAAAGGAAAGGATAAAAAGTAGAAATAGAGAAGCTAAGTACATCACAAGATTATTTGCTGGGATAAACAACTGTGTCTATAACATTGGAGGCAAAAGAATATATGAAGAATATAAGTGTTGAATAATTAAAAGCAACAAGAAAAAAAAAATGATTTTTATGAAAATAAGATTCTTTCTAGAACAGCAAACATTTTCTATCTTTTCAGATCACTCAAATTTTGAATTGGTTGCTTAGTGTGATAGTTCAGTTCCAGACAAGTTTCATCTCGGTGGAACGTGTAAATGAATTTTGCCACCTTCAATCTGAGGTGAGTCACTATTGTTATTTAAATAAGGTCAACCTTTTAAATTCTCAAATAAATTTAAGTGTAAACCTGATTGGAAGATATTGTTGATTATGTTAAGATAATCACTTTTCGTCAAACATGTACCTTTGTGCCTGCAAAAAAAACAGTGTCAAAAGTACGAATTTTCCCATGATGTTGTTTTTATATTAACTACCTTCACTCTTTGGCAGTATTTGTTTCAAAAAGTGATGATTACATATGCAATAAAACCTAAACATGAAAGTTAATTTATACATTTTCTTTGTTCTTGAGAATTGACAACAAAAATAATAAACATTAATTATTAGATTGTTTATTTACAAAAAATTGGCTAATTATCAATCAATTCAATCTTTATAAAATGATAAATAATAAGGATTTCTTAATGACTGGTTCACATATTTTAATAATTTCATAAATATTTATAAATTTATGAATAAAAAATCGTTTTCATATTTAATTCTTTATAAATTGGTAAATGATAACTATTGCCATTATTGCTATTATACATTATACAGTATTTTTTTGATTATTTTATTAAATTTTTTAATCCTTTCTTGGATGTTCAAAATTTTATTTAAAAATTTTGTTTTTCTTGAACGTCAGCGTGTATGGGAAATTTAGCATCTTTTTGCAGTAAAAACACATTGTTTTGGAAATTCTTGCAAAAATCAAATAATTGTCAGATTTTAATGAAACTTTCAGAACTTCTTCACAAATGAATGAAATTATTTTTGAATTTTGTTTTAAATCTTAGTAAAAATTCTTTTTTATTTTTTGATTTTACACTTAATTTTTTTATGAAAAGATTTTATTCTCTTCATATTTATATTAGTAAAAAACAGGACTCCTTTGATAATTTAAATCACCAATTTGTTTTTGTCAAACAGAAACACCATTTACCAAAAATCTGCTCTGAATCAAAATAAAAAATGCAATAAAACTATTACATTATTTAATTAGAAAATTGCTTTTATAAATATCATATATTAAGGACACTATTGTCTAAAGAAAAATTTTTTTGATGAATAAAGAAATATTTTCATTTTTAAAATTTTAATTAGAGTAATTTATTAATTTTTAAATCATTTAAAATTCCGTATTAATTTCAACCTTTTAGATGATATTAAGTAAAAACTATATTTACTAATTGGAAAAGCTTAGTACAAATCATCAAACACCAATATCTTTAAAAGAATTTTGCATTTTTTGTATCGTTAAATGTGCTAATTTTTGTAGATATGGTGGCCTATACACATTATCTGAAAATAAGAGTAATAACTATAGTAAATTTAAAGCCAGAAAGTATCTAAAATTCAATAAATTATTATATTTATTTTCATATCTCCAAAGTACTGATAGATTAAACAAAATCAATTAATACCAATACACTTTTGTGCAGTCATTTTCATTAAAATTATGATTCATTGAAATCTAAAGACTTTTCTTTCTTCAAGCAACTTTGTTATATCAATATAGACTAGTGTTTATATTTTACACCATTGACATTTGTATCTCTGAAAACCCATAATTAAAACAAACAGAATAAACTGAAAATCAAACAAATTAGCAAATCAATTTTATATTTATGGTTGTCATAACTAGTTTACAGGTAACAGTAATTTCAACAGGTTTACTCATTAACTCTATTTGGATTTTTTAATCATTTCCCCTCAAGCAAGACAATAAAGCCACTAAGACATAAGGGTTAATGAGAAAAAACATTAAGGAGAGAGAAGAAAAAAAACAAGATTCAAGAGACAAAAGATGACAATTGATATTGTATTTAAACTTTTGAAATCAAAGTTGACTGGAAAGCAAGAAGCCAGAAGAAAGTTCCACAAGTAAGAAGTGTAAGATAAGAAACTGTCAGCATAAAACTTATGGTTGCATCTGTAAAATAATGAGATCTAACTGCCAACCTACTACTGTGCTTAAACTTATAAAGACAAGGTACCAAAGAGAAAAGCTAATTAGACAATTACCATGAAAATACTTATAGAAAAAAAGCACAGGGAAGCTATGTTATGGTGGTGAGAAAGTGACTAAAGCTAAGATGCCAGTTAAAGACTGATAATATTGCAAATACTTTGGAATTTTTCAAGAATTACTAGATACATAGCAGAAATATCAGACCAGATGTGGCAGCAATATTTAATACATGGACAAATGGTAGATTTAATAAAAGTGTAAGATAGACTGGTGAGAAAAATTGTCTGGCACAACACAGTGAACCAACTTTCCTAGCAGCAGACCTAGCAATTTTTTTCAATATAATCATTCCACTTAATGTCAGTGGAAAACATTAGTCCAAAATGTTGCAATGGGTCACTCTTTCTTAGAGGTTAACATCAGCCATGCTGATGGAAGGTGGAAATGGTTCTCTGTGTCATCAGCATAGTGAGTCAAGAATTACTGATACTGAGAAGATCATTGATGAAAATTAGAAACAAAGTAGATCAAAGGGTTACACTGTAATTAACATAAAAAGATCTAGAAGAGAGGCCATTCAAGACAACTTTCATTTTCTAATTTGATAAGACTGAATCAAATCAAAGATTCAGCCAAAAATGCCATAAACCTTCAACTTGTGAATAAGACCAGCATGCCAAACACTGTTAAACATCTTTCAGATATCTAAAGCCATAACTTGAGCGTCAACATTATTATCTAAAGTGTGAAACACTCTTTTAGCAATAACTGTTAACACATCAGTAGCTGACCATATTGTTCGTCTGATAGAAGACCCTGCAAGGTGATATGCTTAACAAATTCAGAGTTGATGAGATACTCTAGGACTTTGCCAAATAAAGGTAAAAGACTAATAGGTTGATAGGATTAAAAGAGACGCTGGACCATTTATCTTGAATATTGGGGTTTTATTAATACTATTATGAATATACATATTTTTAAAATATATCATATAATCCATTTTATTCAGTTTTATAAGGAAGATGGAACAAATATTATTTTAATTTTTTTCTCTTCTGTTTAACCCTCTGATTATACAGTATGGTATTTGAACACCCCCCTCCCATAAAATACTATTCTTCAATATTTCACAAGTGGCAATCCCAATTCCCATGATTAGTCAAGTTTATTTCTGAGTAGTTCTGTTAAGTGACAACAAGGAGTTTCTGTTTTTAGCCACATTTCTGTGAATTACAATCAATTTTATTTGTTTACTGGAAATAAAATGAAACCTTTTTTGAATATTTTAATTTTTTAAAAACTTATAAATTTGGTTCTTTATTAATATTGTCTTTTTAATTCTATTTTTCAAAACCTTGCATTTTGTAATTTGTTTCGTTTTTTTCATTTTTTTATTTATCTTATAAAAACCAGAAAGAACACTTAAGAAAGTATATAACAAGAAAATTAAGAACTAAACTATATATCTGTAACATTTTAAATAGGGTATTTGAAAACAGCATAGTGATGATGCTTGGACAATTCCTTACATTGGGTTAAAGAAAAAAAAATCAAGCTTTCAGTTTTGCACAACCATCTAAAAGACTTCTTTAACATCTTTGTGAAAAATTCTTTAGAGGAAATTTTCAACATTATTAAATGCACTGAAAAATAAGATAAAGATTTTGACAATAAAACTTTGTTTTTATCAAGTTTGGGGCCCTTTTTCATCATCTTTTTTAGCAAATTTTTGGTGGTACCTACAATTTAACTTAAGAAGAGTAAATATAGATGTTAGTTATTTGATTTTTTAAATTTGAAAGTGTTTATTTTTAATATTTTGTGTTTTTATTATTAAATTTAGGCATCCTGGCATATTGATAATGAAGATATCGACCAGAATTGGCCAGTGACCGGTAATTTGGAGTTTAATGATTATCGCACAAGATACCGACCTGGATTAGATTTGGTGCTCAAGGGAATTAACTGTTACATTCCTTCTGGAGAAAAGGTAATGAGAAATTTGAGCTTTCATTGTTAATGATGGAAGGAATTTTAAATTGAACATTGGGAGACATACTTTGATGGTTTTTTTTTGCATTTTTGTAGTTTCTTATGATTAGTGCCAAAAAAAACATCTATGGATCATTTTGAATGTAGCCTAATTAGAATATTTCAGGAAGGAATTTTAATTAACAATGATGAATTGTGTTTATTGCATTGAATAAATAAATAAAAAATATATCAAAATATCCCAAGTTTAAAGAAATTTCTTTCAGCAGAATATATTTTTTAGTTTATTTTTTTATGAAGAATATTCAGGTATGACATAAACAGCTGCATTAGTTGAAGATTTTATTCAGCAGAATTGAAAAATATAGCATGCAAACCTTGTTTTAAATTTGTGATTTAATTAACTCTGAAACAAAACTGTTGTCATCGTTTAACTATTTTTGTGAGTAATCAGGTTACATTTAAGGTGATATTTTAAAAAGAATCTTGTATATAAGTATAGAGAGGGGCAGACAGTATGGACATCACAATCAACACTGGATGGTGTCAATTTTATGCTTCCATGCTTTGGCTTTGAGCCATAAGCAAATGTATTTTTACAGAATAAACAGTTTCATATTTTAATGTGGTGGATTAAATGATACTTCTTTGATATTGAGCACTCTTCCCTTAAGATCAAATTTAAGATATTGAAAACACACACACAAGGTCTGATAAAAAAAAAATTATCAGGACTGTTGCTATGTTAATGGAACTAAAGTACGCAGAGTGAAAATACTTAGCACAGACTGACCTTGAACTCTGTTGTGCATACACACTAAGTTATAACATTCTCACTCATTTCCATTATTTATAGCAGTGCTTGGAAGGAAAGTGTGTAGAGAGTGGCTATCTCACCACATGACAGAGGTTCTATTAGTGACCATGGCTTGTGCAGCAGTTTTTGACCAAGGACAACATTTCCCAGGTCTGACAACACCCACACTCCCGCAGATCTCGCCCTTTGTGATTTTTTCCTCTTTCTAAAAATCAAATCCTACCTGAAAGGAATAAGATTTGAAAACACTTTGGAAATCCAAGAGAATTTGACAAAGCAGCTGCTTGCCCTTCCAAAAACAAGGAGTTCCAGGAATGCTTCCCACAATGGAAATGTCACTAGATAAATTGGCTTCAGAATGGACCACTTCGAAGGAGATTAAATGTTGAATTGATGAGTCATAGTTTTCTTTTTATAGCACCAGGCCTGATACATTTTGATCAGACCTTGTATATATGATCTCATTCTTATTCTTTTTTTCTTATTTAAAAAAATTAATGCTTATAGTAATCAAAAATAACGTTGGTTTTAAAAGTTTTGCTTGATTTCTTTTCTTTTTTCTTTTCTCTTCTATCTTTTCTTTTCTTTTCTCTCTCTTTTGTATCTGTCTATATTTCTGAGATGAGGTATTATGTACACTATTTACATTATTCGGACTATTGTCCTCATCTTTGTCGCCATATTTATCACAACATTTTGGCCGTTGTACGCCCAGGCCTTCTTCAGGTGGTTGGAATGTCGAACTGAACCCTTTATTTCACTCACTGGGGTAGACTGTTCTAGTTCCACGTGCCATGTTTAATGGATGTCAGTTATCTCCTGTTAATTTCCCTCTCCAAGTTCTCCACTGCCTTAACCGGGTATTGAATTCACACTATTTGGGTCTTATCACTGGATCTAACCAATGCCTTTATCCACTGTGCCATGTCGAACTGAACCCTTTATTTTGCTCACTGAGGTAGACTGTTCTAGACTTTATCCACTGTGCCATGTGTCCTGGATAAAGGCTAGAACAGTCTACCCCAGTGAGCAAAATAAAGGGTTCAGTTCGACTTTCTCTTTTTTCTTTTCTTTTCTCTTCTCTTCTTTTCTCTTTCTTTTTTCTTTTCTTTTTCTTGTAGGCCTGTGTTTGCATTTTACCAGTCTATCAACCAAACTGCTTCCCACTCCATTCCAGGTGTCTCTATTACTTTTGTTTTTCTCTTTAATTTTATTTTGTAAATAAAAAATGATACAAAAGAAAAATAATTTTCCTCTTTTAATTTTTAATTATTTTTATATAAGTGTCATATAGGAATAGTGTTGCTGCTGACAATTGAGTTTGAACACTGATCGCCAGAAAGCAAGCACGTTCGACCTCATCTTGAAATAATTAGATCATGTGACAGGTAAAGACAAATAAATAAATATATAATATATATATATATATATATATATATATATATATATATATATATATATATATATATATATATATGGGATTAGCAGCATCTGATCAAGTATTGTTCAAAGGCATTACTATTGTTGTATCTGTGATTTACAAAGTCTCTCCTACAAACGGGTATTACAAAATTCAGTATATTTGTTTTTAGTTTGAAAATTAATATAGTGTTGTCTTTTTCCCCACTCTATTTGATGTGCTTTTGATGATGGTTTTTATGTTTCCTCTTGTTTTCTTTTCTAAAAAAATTTTTTTTTTTTTCTTTATGTTCACAGGTTGGAGTTGTTGGTCGTACAGGTGCAGGAAAGTCTTCTCTTACTCTTGCACTATTTCGGATCATTGAAGCTGCTGATGGATCCATCTTGATTGATGGCCAAAATATTTCAGATATGGGTCTTCATGATCTAAGATCAAAACTGACTATTTTTCCACAGGTCAGTGAAGAAATTAATTTTTTTTATATCTTAACTAATTTTTAAAATTTATTTGTTTTCAAAATATTTTTTGTGAAAACCTCAAATTTATAATTCATTTTCTTTTGATAAGTAGTTTAATTTTTAAGTAAAGCTGTAGGTTACCATGGCTGAAACTTAGGAGTGGAATAAAAAAATTAGCCTGAATGAAATGCTTTTTAATTTTTTTTTTTTTTTTTTTTTTAAATAAACATGTAGATATAAACTAGCTCCTGCAGAGGGTTCTTGATTAGGCCTTTGGTTTGAGAGTCTTTGCATATTCTCAGCATTGGAAGCTCTCCTGCCTGCCATTTGATCTGGGTTTTCATTTGTACAGGACTTTTTTCCTTGCTGCAGACTTGGCTCTTTTGATTGCAATCTGGTCCTCTGTTGGTGGGGATTTCTTTTTGCGAGGCATACTGCTGCCACACGCAATAAGGAACAATAAACTACAGAAGAACTCAAAATTGATTGGTGCATTTAAGTATTTTATTAATATTTAAGCTTACCTATAAAATTTCAACAATAATTCTTCTGTTGCCACTTACTTTAGAGACAATTTGATGTACATAGGTCCTTACTTTCTGTACAATAATTATTTTTATTTCATGGGTGACTTTTACTGGATTTTGCAATTAATTTCAATTATTTCCAAATTTGTTTCCAAATTATAAAAATAGTTATCATAAAAAATTTTTGTTGCAAAAAATAATGTAAAAAATCACCGAAAACAATCATAGTAATGAAAACTTGGGAATCTAAAATTTCTGTAACATGAGCTATTGAAAGTTAGAGTTGTTTCTTTAATTGAAAAAGTGTGACATAGTGACACTCTGACATTCGCATTTATTATGTAGAAGTAACATAGCCTTGAAATTATTTTTTTGTTCACCCTGTACAAGGCACAAGAGCCACTCGGGGTAGAGGGTGACAGAGTAAGAGGCACTATTCCAAGCAAGGTGATGATGTAACCAAGACACAAGGAGTCACTTGAAATGGATGGAAAAGAAATTAGAAGGAACTGGAAACCTATTCCTGAACAGGAAACAAAGGATAAATCTCTATTCCTGTTCAAAAGACTGGAGAGGAGTGGGAACCACATGATAAGCAAACCCATCTACTAGCTTTTTAAAAAATAAAGACTATTGTTCAAAGTAATATTTTACTCTATAAAACTAAAGATATTGGCAGTGGTAGTAGTAATATTAACCATTTCCTGATAAGGAAACATTTGGCATTTATTGATCAAGCAGCCAATAATGCTTTCGCTTGAAATTTATAAAATCTTTCTCTTAAAACACTTTTTTTTTTTTTTTTTTTTAGGAAAACAGGTTTTGTCAAGTCCAGTAGCTGTTATTTCTCTTTCCAGTTTTCATGGATTTCCTTCCTAACCTTTTATTTGAAGTGGTGTGAGACATCAGCATTGGTTATGTCATTGATTTTTCTTCGAATTACATGTGCTATCCATTTTAGTTGTTTCCGCTATTTGTATTCCTCAAGTATTTGATACAGTTCTTTGTTTGTGATTCTGTAGCCCCAATCTGCAATGTTCAAAGAAGGATCGTTTTCAAGACCTTTAGGTTTTACTTGCTCAAAGCCTTTTTTCACCATTGATCTTAGGAAGTGGTTGTATACAGCTGACAGTTTAGATATTTCTGAATGGTTTTGACACCATGCATGAGATTCATATGAAAGTCTCGATCTGACAAAGTTATTTAAGAACATGACTCAATTTTTCAGATTAATGTTTTGCATTCATAGCAGTTTGCAGCAGTAGGTGAAGCTACCTCTGGCACAGCCTATTCTCTGTTCAATTCTTTTTCTCCTATACTTTATTTTTATAGCTGATCCATACAGTGAGGTATCTAATTCTGCATATTGTATTTTTATGATAGATTAAGGGTAGGTGCCATCACTGCTTTCATTCTAATTCCAGATCATAGTTTCTTTTTTTTTTTTTATCTTGTCCCATTTCTTGGAACACATGATAGAGGATGCTGATTATTCTTATCATAACTATAAATGCCTATGTCATCAGCATAGCCCACCTAATCATAAGTACATTGGCCTCAGCAGAGAAAGCAGGATCATTGTCTTCTATTGGTAGACTCATTCAGGATGTGGTCATTTATGTGCCATTCGTGATACATGCTTAGGTGATCATGTATCTTTCGATACATGACTGATGAGGCAGATTTTTCTTTCAGTAGGTTGCCATTTCTTTTTGCGGTAGACCAGTTGCCATCTAAGGCTATAGAATTGCCCTGCTATTTACCCATAGCTGGGGGATAGGATAAGAAGAGGATTCGTACCTTTCCCAAGGGATTTGCACATAAGTGAATGTAATGGATTCAACTGGGATTCAAACTTGGCTCTCCGATTCCTCAATCTGAGCTGCTCTCCATTAATCCACTGTGCCTCCTTATGGAATGCTTAAATGGTCACTGCGTATCTAGTCACATCTGTGTTTGTATATGTGCAGGGTATAGTCTAGGAAGAAATTAAATAGACTGGGGCTCTCATTTGCTGCTTGTTGTATTCCTGATGAGATGTGAAATATTTCTGTATTTGGGTCCTTGCCAGATATGTAATATTCTATAGATCGATACAGTTACTCTATTAGTTTGATGCATTTGGAATTTGAAAGATGGTTTCTAATGGATGAGGATGGAAATTAATAAGTTTCTAGTGAAGGATCAAGGTGTCACTTTTCTCATATAACAACGCTGTTACAGATTGCATGTGTATACTGCTAGCAAGCTGTCTGTTTCTGTCTGTTTCTAACACACAATTATGCAAACTTTCATGTCAAAACCTGGGATTGAACAAACAACCCAAATTATAACCTGGCTGAATTTTGACATGAAAATCTTATTGCATAATGTTTACTCTATGTGATCGATATTAACTGCTGAATTAAGTGCATTAACAAGAAAAGTGATTGTATTGAAAACTATTTACTCTATATTCTTGTGCATAAGCTGAATTCATGTATAGTGTGAACCCTAAATTTTAACCACTCCAGAAAAAATTACTTGTATATTGTACAAGTGGTCACTGAAAATGCCTGATTTTTAACCTCTATAAAAAACTTACCTGTTATAGTGCAGCCCCATATTTTTGGTGTAAAGAAACTGGTCATAAAACCTCATACTATATTTGAGTATATATGGTATATAGTAACAGCAGCAACAGTTAAAATGTATATCAAATTTAACTAAAAGAGAAAATAATAGCATAATCAAAATATTGACATTCCACACTACTTCAAACAAAAGGTTAGGAAGGAAACCCACCACCAATACTGGAAAGCATGATAACAGCTACTGGACTTGAAAACTTTTTTTCATGAAAAAATCTTTTAAGAGAAAGATTTTATAAATTTCAACTGATAATAGTTTAGTCAATGAATGCCAAATATTTTCTTATAAAAAAATGGCTACTATTACCATCATGAAATATGTTTTATTTTGGTGGGTGGGTAGAATGGAGTTGTATATACTTTATGTTAAGTAATTGGCTTGGCTGTGGCTAAGTGTAATTGGTAAAAATACTGAACAAATGGAATTGACAAAATTTCCAATAAAATTAACAAAAGAAAGAAAAAGAACAGGGCAAAATAATACTATATATATATCTAAGTCAAAGGTAGACAAAGCAACAGTAATAAGGCAAAAAATTAGAATGGTGCTGACATGCAAAAGGGATACTGTCAAGTGGCTATTGTTAAGACAAGAAAGAACAACAATATGACAGATGATACAAAGAAATGATTAATTTTGTTGGCTAGGAAGAAATCCCAGCATGCATCTATATGATTTATTTATAAATTTTGGAAGTGAGATGTTTTTGCAGTTATTCCTGTGCCAATTAAAACCAGCATCATAAACTATGCAGATGAACAGATATTTTATTGATATATGCATACAGTTTTATATAAATATTACACTGATATGGTCATATTAGATATATTTGCATCATTTATGACGAAAGCTATAAACTGCTATAAAAGAATAGTAAAAAACTTTCAAGCTGATCTTGGCATATGACAAATAGTTATCTTCAATTCAGTTTTATACTTGAAGAGGTAAAATCATAATTTTGTTTTTAAATGTGCCAATAACAGATTGATGTCAAAGCTTTTAACAACTATGCTGTAAAACATCCAAAAGAAACAAGGTTAATATTTTAATACAATATATAAATACTCTTCTTGATAGGTTTTGAAATTGTTTCTCATCATTAATTACAAATAAAATAAAAAAAAAAAATGTTAAGATTTTAAATACTGATTTTTTTTTCTTTTTATGGGTCTTTCAAAGACAAAATATACAGAAAATATTTAATTGTTTCATTCTATGATTCTTTTTTAACCAGGATCCTGTCTTGTTTTCGGGCTCATTAAGAAGTAATCTGGACCCTTTCCAGGTGTACTCAGATTCTGATATTTGGAAAGCACTCAAACATGCCCATTTAACAGGTTATGTACAAAGACATGCTGCAGGATTGCTATATGAATGTGGAGAAAATGGACAGAATCTCAGGTAATTAACTGTCTTCACCTTTTTCTTCTCCCCCTCCTTTAAAATGAAGGCAAAATTGTTAGTCACACCAACAAATACATTTGTTGAACTTTTCAACGCTGCAGGTTAAGTGGGAAATTTTGCTTGGTGTAGATTTGTGCAGATGAAAGGGCATTTTTAGTTGACTGATTATGACCTGTTGCAAAGTCTTATTTATGTTTTAGGTAAATACAAACACAATTTTTTTTGAATTTACTCAAACGAACAGTAATTGATTGAAAATTCTCTTTACACAGTTTTGATGAAAATTTTCATTTACTGTTTTCATCTTAGTTGTGTGTGTGTGTGTGTCTTCAAGGATGTTTCCATCTATATTTCATGGCATACAAAATACTCCTTTAATTTAATATCAAACCTTTCTTCCATAGCTCCCTCTTGTTATAATACTTTTTTCTCCCATTTGTATTTCCCCCATTATGGGTATTCATATATCCATGATATAACAACACTGTAATTGATGGAATGGAATGGTTGAAACGAAAAAGAATGACAGACATACTTTGTTCTCAGAGAGACTTTTATTCTCATAAGGCTTAAACAAAACTATATATTATATACAAGTGCCCCATGTGAAGTACCATATATTATATAACTACAGAGTAAGCAGAGTGTAAGGAGAAACAAAAAGAAAGGGTCTTACATATAATATGGAAATTCTTCTGGAGAAGCCATATTTAGGATTCCAGATTAAAAGGGGCCAGATTTTTCTACTATGTCCCAGGTGAGGACATGTTCCATGAAGAGAAACAGCAAGTCTTGCGTTTTCCCAAATTGAGTACTTTGGGCTGGAGTTTCTTTCTGTATATAAGAAAGATATATTCCCAAAGGGAAATGGCACCATGGACTTGTAAGTTGCAGCATTTGCTGGATGAGGCAGATTTAACCTGGGCCGTTTGGTTTGGCTGCTGTAAGCAAACTGAATGACTGTCCACTCTCATCACTGTATGAAGTGACGTCACTAAGCAGCAGTCCTGTGACCCACGTGACTTATCTTCACCTCAGGGAGATAATTGCCTTCTGTATCTCTACAGTATTATATAATTATACAAGTAAGTAGTACAGTGTTTGGGTAAACTTTAGTGTACAATTTCACATAAGATCCAGGAAATATCTTTTTGAGCTTTTTTTTTCTTTAAAAAATTAGGTGGGCTTATGTTATCAAATATAATCTCTTTATATATATATATATCAAAGCAGAAATGAGAGCAGAAACTAAAAACAATTTTTAAATATAATGTATGAATGCTTAGTAATAACAGTAAAAACTATTAGAATCATTGTCAGCCATGACATGGTTCAGTATAACTACATGCATCATAAGAAAAGTGTGACAAGTTCAAGTTGAGATTCTTTTTAACTGCACTGTTTTTATTTTCTATCTTTTCTAGTATGGGCCAAAAACAACTGGTATGCTTGGCTCGTGCCTTACTACATAAGACAAAATTATTGGTGCTAGATGAAGCCACTGCTGCTGTTGATTTGGAAACGGATGCTCTTATACAGCAGACTATTCGAAAAGAGTTTTCTGACTGTACAATCCTCACTATTGCCCATCGACTGAACACAATTCTTGATTATGACAGGTGAGCTGAATTCCTCTTTTTTACTTCATTTTACCTGAGTTTAATCTCTTTGTTAACAAAATGTCTCTTTCGGTGGAGTAATTTAATAAACAAAATGTTCTGTTTGATGTCTATAGTATCAGTAGGTGATATTTGCAGTTTTTTACTTTTTCATTGCTCTTTTTGATAGTAAATTTTGTTATAGGTATCTGTATATTCCTGTACTAGACTATGAATATATATATATATATATATATATATATATATATATATATATATATATATATAATATAAACAGGTAATAAAGTCACTATACAGTTACTTATAATAAAAAAAGCAAATCATTGAAGCAGATGGCTTGCAGTTCAAACTGAGCCAGTGAGTAATTTACTATTATTGTTTACCATAGCATTTTATTGTTATTAGCCAGAACCATTTTTATAATAAATATCTGGACTGTTGATTAATTGCTTTGTCTTAATTATTATTGTAAGTAACTGAATAGTGGCTTTATTGCCCCACAGTGTGTGTGTGTTCATATATATATATATATATATATATATATATATATATATATATGAACACACACACATTCTTCATTCAGCTTTTGGAAGTAAAGTCTGATGATCCAGAACCCTGTTAAAGGGGTTATGGTGAAATAGCTTATTACATGGAATCTTAAAGTGGTTTTTATTCAAATATATATATATATATATATATATATATATATATATATATATATATATATATATATATATATATATATATAGGTGAATTGTCCCCATTTTATATTTTTAATTTGCACATGCACATTATTTGTTTTTTGATTTTGTCAACTACACAGGATAGTAGGGTCAGTTGGGCATTGTCTATGAGAAAAAGAGCATTATGACACAATTCACTCTGACAGAAATTTTGAAACATTATGCTGTGCTGCTTGGCATTTGCACCAGATGCTCCAATATGAACATTTCAAAGTGTTTGGGTATCAATCTGAGGACATTGCAGAGGTTGAAGAAAGAGCTGGATGAGTTTAATGGTGATTACGAATGTATCGCAGCCGGAATAACTGATCATTCTTGGAAAAGAACTCCGGAATTTGTTGGTGAGGGCCTCAACATGGACGCCAACATCAAGTGCTTTTGAGGAGGTAGTGCTGCCCTGAGTCAAGAGGGTGACTGCTGGAAGATCCTATGTCTGCCAACAGGACTCTGCACCATTTCACACAAGCAATCCTGTCATGGCTGTCAGACAATTTCTGTGACCACATCTGGCCACCTAAGTCTCCAGGCAGCAACCCCTTTGATTATTATGTGTGGACCGCAGTTGAGTGAAAGACCAACAAAATTCCTTGTAACAGCAAAGATGGACTGAAGGCAAGGATTGTGGCAGCATTCAACTTAAACAAGGAGACTGTATAGAAGAGTTGCAGGAGATTCCAAAGTCATCTGGAGGCCATAATTGAAGCCAATGGCAATTTTGTTAAATAAATTTACTCTTTAGTTTTCAATATATTATTATATAATTTTGGTAAATATATCTGTTAAAATGAAATGTCAGTGTTATTTTCGCTTTTGTGTAATTTAGATGACAATTTATCCATCGAACCCTATATATATATATATATATATATATATATTTCTTCAAGTCAGTGTTAACTGTATACATAAGAATATATATTTCTTCAAGTCCTTGTTAAATATATATATATATATATATATATATATATATATATTTGAATAAATAAATATATTTTCATATAGACAATTAACACTGACTTGAAGAAATAAATATGTATACACACACACTTAACACTGACTTTAATATATATATATATATATATATATATATATATATATATATATATATATATAGCATATTTTCATTCAAGCATATTTGGTTAAATAATTTTTAGACATATGTCTCTTTTAGTTTTAATCCTTTCAACTCTAGAAATTAATTTCTTGATGGATGTAGAAAATTGATCAAGAAAAATTCCAAGATTTTCTTTTAAATAATTTTTATTTTCCCAAGTACTTTCAATCTCATCTGATATTATCTTCAGTGGTTGTATATCTAAGGATGTGTTATTCATTAACACCGTAAATTCAAAATATTTTGTTACTGCTATGCAAGGGAAGTAACTTACGTGAATTTCTTTTTCTTTTTTTTTTTAATTTAAAAAAAATCCAGTTTCATGTTTGGGCTTCACTAAAATTCTAGAAATAGCTTTTTAAAACAATAAAAATTGCCGAGGGAATATTGAGTAAAAGTGGTGTCAAGAGTAAACGCGTTCCTTTGACACACACATACAACATATTTTTTTTTTTTTTTTTATTTATGGATATGTTAAAATTTGCCAACAATACACTCCCACAATACAAGGTGCACCCAATCTGGACTCTCATGCCCTGTTGGCTTGCTTCTCTTCTACAGAACTCCAAAATAATTGTTTTCAAGATGAGAAGGATTAAACTAAAATAATCATCTACATTCCTCCCAATCTTTTGAACAGGAGTATAGGTTTATTACTTGTTTCCAGTTTAGGAGTAGATTTCCAGTTCCTTCTAAAGTCTTCTCATTATCTTTCACTCCCAGTAAGCCCTTGTGTCTTAGTGGCATTACCTCCTTGTTTGGAGTGAAATGATAAAAATAAAAAGTAGTGACTAGTATTTATTTATTTTTTGAATTCTATGGCAATGCATAGACAGCATGAAATGAAAATAGTTCTAGTGAGATTAAAACTTGCCTGATAAATGCCCAGTGGCTTTAACTTCTAAGCTTGAAAAACTTTGTGTTTTTGAAGAGCAAATCTAAATCACCTCATTCTATGATCTTTTACCAGTGTCATTTTATTTTTTAAGTATTATTAATAGTAGTAGTATTTTTGTTAATAGATAAAGCATTATTATCTGGAGTTGATTTTTGTTGTTTTTAATTGGCTAAAAATTATATTTTCCAGAATTATGGTGCTGGACCATGGCTCTATTGTAGAGTTTGATTCTCCACAAAACCTCCTGAAGGACAAAGAATCAAGATTCTTCCAGATGGCTCAGGATGCTGGTTGTACATAAGCTAATGTTCTACTACTATAACATTTCAAAAGAGCTGGTTTTCTATTTAAGAACAAATTTCGAGTTTAATATTGTACATTACAAAAAATGAACTGACTAAATTTTGAATGCAGAGTAAATTTCAACTTTTTGAGCAATGATCAGAGTTTGCCAGTACATATTTAAAAAAAAAATGAAATGGATGAGTGCTGTTCAAATGTTATTTTTTTTTTTTTTTTTTTTTAGATACTATAAAAATGTTCAGGCATTTTTATAGCCCTTTTGCATTTTGATTGGTCTTTTCATACAGAAAGCTAATTTGAAATCAATGCCATCTTACAAATGATATGTAAATGCATCAAGACATTCCTGGTAAATTCAAACTAGCATTTTAGTGAATAATATTAATAACAATAAATGGAAAAGAGAAGAAAACCTGATTATTAAATATTTCATTATATCCTCTTTGCATGCAACAAAAATTGATAAGAAAAAAGACGATTATTCTTTTAAAGAATTACTCGCCTTGATGCTTGATTGGTACAAATTTGGAGACGATAATCGTTTTTCTAAAAGGTTATAATTGATGAAATGTTGATATCAAGTTAACACATGTTTCAAGTAGATTATTTTTTATTTATCTCCTTAGGAAAATGCATAAACTATGCATGAACTATTTTCATTTCATGCTGTCTATGCATTGCCATAGAATTCAAAAAATAAATAAAAAAAATACACTATAAAGTTTAAAAACTTTATAGTGTATTTTTTTTATGGAAATTGAAAGCAAAATACAAAATTACAATCTCAAGTAAATGAGAATTTTTCATTCATCTTTTCTAAACTTTCATCATTAAATTTATATGAATAAAGATAAAAGAAAAGCTTAGCAGGCATGTTTCATCCTCTGATGGAGATTATCAAGGCAAATTTAAAGATTTTATTTTGTAACAAGTATTTATGAACAAAAGTAAAATGTTCAAATATAAGACTGCTCATATACACCAGGCTAACTGAAAAGTTTAAGTAAATTATGGAAGGTGCTAAGTGGTATAATTTAATGTTTAATAAACAAAAGTAAGTAACTGTTTTTATTTTTTAAATAATGTAATTAATATTTATATTATTTTAGTTTGGGATTAATTTATCTATTATATATTTTAAATAATAGAAGGTTATGAATTTAACTGTTTTCTTTTAATTTTTTAACAGTTTTATAGTCATGTATGTTGGCTTGGGAAAGGAGTAATTCTTTTTAGGAATGGATATATTTGAAAAAGATTTCTGGTTGAAGATTTTTATTTTGATAAGATTCTATAGTGACAGTCTCAAGAATTTTTCATCTAAGTTACTTATTTTCTCTTTTAATAAGTGTGGCATTATTTAGGTCAAAGTTGTGGTTGAATTTATTTCCATGTATAACTAATGCATTTGATAAATTTATATTTCTATATTACTTTTATTCAAGGGTAAGTAACTAATGTTTTGTGATAACTTTGTCACAATTAGTTCGTTTTCAAGCTTTATTTATATATTTATTATTTTTTTTTTTAGGTATTAATAAGGTCTATTTTCTACTGGAAATGTTTTTGAAATTCAAAAGTGTCACTAAGATAAACTATATTTTGTTATAAATAAATTCTATATATACAGTTTTCTAGGTAAATGATTTATTAAACTCATATTTACCAGTAAACTTTAAAAAAATAAATTAATGCTGCCAACTTGAATAAATTTAAAAAATGTATTTCTTGCATATTAATAAAAAGATTTTCAATTAGAATTACCTATTTATTAGAAATGTATTAAAACTGGAAATAATGCTTTTTGTGGAGAAATACACTTTTGTGTTGACCTAAAATTTACAATATGTCACAGTTACTTAATTATTTCTGTGACATGTGATCATGCTAGAGTGAAATTTTATGTTTTACTTAAATATCATTTAAAATCAAAAATTTGACATGAAAAATAATTTTGGAGGAAATTTATCAGAAATATAGCAGCTTTAGAAATTATCCTAAAGAATCTTCAGAATATTTATTTTTGCAATGCATTTGATGGCATAGAGGAAGCACTCACCATAAAAATGTACTAAAAGTAATGAAAGGCTTTGTGTTACATATGAGATGAAACCCTTTTCTAAGCCACTACTTAGCTTTTTATATCCTAGATAAATGCATCTTATATGCCACCAAAGATTTAATTTTAAAATAATGTGCTTATGTAACATTTCATCAGTATGTGTATTCTGAATTGTGTACATATTTTTCATTAGGGTTGTTTGTAACAATAAAATTTTTGTATTAATAAAAAATCTTTGTTCCTTTTAATATTTTACTAAATATTTTGTTTGTCTAAATTTGTTAACTTTGTCATTTTATGACATAGTATTTTATTTTTTCATTACAAATTCACTGATTTCATGAAAATATGGATGGATCGTTGTTGTTGGCAAACGATACGTAAGGGAGATAATTCCTGTTACAATTTTCATTTTCAAGGATTGCGTAATTGTCTCCCTTACAATCCAACTGTGCAAAATAGCCGTGAACAGACATTTTGATTACTAACACAAAAAAATTACATTTTGTTTGCATTTTTTATTACTTTTTTATGAGATTTAGAAATTCAGTTGCAAATATATTTTGATTTAGAAAATATTTTAAAAATACTATAAAAAAATTGTATTTAAAAGATAAATATACCAATTTAAAAAAAAAATGCTTTTAAACTTGTCAACTTGGCTTTGGTGCTTTTAAAACTGTTGATGTTAAAAATGTCTACTCTAAAGTAACATTTAATTAATTGCTCCAAGATCCAAACTCTAAAACTTTAATCATTTGAAAATATAATGAAAATTTTTTATTCATATTTAAGGATTATGACAAATTCAGATCTTCAAATTGAAAACATTTTAATTTTGAAAGCTATTATTACCTAAATTCAACAAATTACACAGCACTTATTTCGATTAACCATGTTACTTAGAACGATTACTTTGATACTTATATAAATTTAAAATAATCGAAGTTTTAAATAATGCACTGACTATTGTTTGGGACCAGGCCAATACCAAACCACAGAAAATGCCAATGACAGAAATCACCCCTAAAAACAAAAAACCCTATATAAACATAGTCTTGCCAGCTCATTCCACATAAGGACAAACTTGGAAGTGGTTTCACTGATAAAAAAAGGGAATATGGTATTTTTTCTGTTGGTAAGCATATTTTTGTTGGCTGGTTGACATTAATTTCAATGTTTAAAAAACAACAAATTATAAAAAACTTATTTTGATTAATGATATGAATTAAAACAATTACTTCATGATTTATGTGAATATAAACATAATTTTAGTAATCATATAAGTGACAGATGGCTATAAAAAGATACTGCTGATTATTCATGGATAATTTAAATAATTCACGGACTAGTGTCAAGTGGCAATAATTGTGAGTACAGTCTGACCTCTTTAATCTGGCATCACTGGGACCAGGCTACTGCATGCCACAGAAAATGATGAATGACAGAAATGACCCATGTTGATTTCCTACTAGGATGATTGTAAAAGTGTCCCCCTCCCTCTCTTATAGTCAGAAAGACACAAAATGCATGCTTTTGTTTACAAACACCAACTCAATTTGTGAATTCTTTTGCCTTCTTACCTGTTTGATCTGCTTTAACTATATTGCTTGCTTGATTGTTGCTGTTTCATCATTTTTTTTTTTTTTTTTTACTTTTTCCTTTTCATTGCAAACTTTACTAATTTAGTTCATGTTATTTATCTTACATTTTGACAATGGCCTCTAACTCATTAACCCATAAAAAACGCAATGTAAACATAATGCCAGCTTGTTCCACATATATATTGCTGTGTTATTAATGGTAGGACAAAGCTTAGAACAGGAAATAATCATTAATGCTTTCAAACAAGGTTTTTATTGTTTTAAGCAATACAAAATCTAAAAAAAAGACTAAAATCAAAAAATGTTATATACTTACTACGTAATGGGAAATGAGCCAGACTATCACTAAAAACACTCTGCTGCTGTAGAAAGTTGTAAACAATGTGAGGTTCTGCCCTCATAGCCACTCCACTCCATGAACTAATGGTGACTAATTTAAAAAAAAAAAAGTGCCAGGCCATAGGAATTGCCAGATTAAGGAGGTCAGACTGTAGAACTAAAATAATTAACCAAGTAATCATTTTAAGTCCTCTGAATATTGGTGCTATTCCTTAAATGATCTATTTTGGTTATTTTATTTTACTTTTTTTAATCATTTAACCTCAAGCAAGGTAGGAATTTACTCTTTAATATTTCAAGATATTTTTTGTAATTTTGGCAAATATATCTGTTAAAATGAAATGTCAGTTTTATTTTCATTTTTGCATAATTTAGATGACAATTTATCCATCAAACCCTGGGTTCGATGGATAAATTGTCATCTAAATTATGCAAAAATTAAAATAACACTGACATTTCTATATATATATATATATATATATATATATATATATATAATAAATATAAACGTCATCCACAGACAGACTAGTGTGGCTAGACATCCGGTTGCCTCTAGCTAGTTGAAACCGACTGAATTGGTGTCAGTCGAGATTCTAACCATTAAGCCGTCGGCGCATGGTAGGGATGAAAGTGAACAATGACTTGAATAAATATATTTTTATATATACAGTAAACACTGACTTAAATAAATATATATATATATATATATGTAGCATGTAGGGGGGTTACAGAGTGTGAAAGTGAGAGAAAAGACTGGATATTGGGGGATTGAGGAAAGGATAAAAGATGGACAGGATTCAAGAAGATTGTGACTGATGTTGCATTTAAATTTTTGAAGATTGTAGTTATCGGGGAGCAGTTAAACAGGAGGGACTTCCTAGGTGGGAAGAGCGAGAAAATAAACTGTTGGAGTAGAAGTGGTGGTTACATTTAATTATTTCAGCAGTAAAAGAGTGGGATGCCAATCCCAATTCACATAGTT